TCCCCTGTGTCTCAATCCAGTACTCAGCTCTGGGTCTGGCATTTCGCATACAAAATAATCTCATTTACATTCACCTTATAAGAGTGGTAGCAGAATCTGCTAAATGCCAGACACTTGTGATTAGAATATGCCTTTGTCACTTATACTTTTCAGAGCATCTGTGCAAGGGAAGCTGCACTCACCTCAATCTGCTAGTCAAAGAAATGGGCTCACAAAACAAGGCAATGGCACTAAGAGGCAGGGCAGGGATAGATCCCACATCTGCAGAGTTTTAAACGACTATATGTAAATACATCTCTCTTATCTCTCTTCCCCATCCCTTCTTTCTTTCCTTCCTCCTTTTTCCCCCCTTCTCTCTCCAGAAAGGGAGAATACATGTGACAAAAATGTTCCAAATTAGTAGATCCTCATATAGGTAGGGTATATAGGGATTATCTAAATTGTCTTGCAAATTCTCTTTAAGTCTGAAACTAGAAAAATAACCCTGGGAGGACATAAAAAACCATGAGGGCTCAGTCAATCCTTAGAAGATACCTTTAATCATTATAAACTCATGAGAAACACTGTAGAGTGGGAGTGGGGGGGAGGTGTCAAAAAACTAATTAAGTGGGTTTTTAAAATTTTTTAATTCTGATTTGTTATATATGACAGCAAAATGCATTACAATTCATATCACACATATAGAGCACAACTTCACTTCTCTGGTTGTATACAAAGTATATTCACACCATTCATGTGTTCATACATGTACTTTGGATAGTAATGATCATCACATTCCTCCATCATTTCTAACCTCATGCCCACTCCCTTCCCCTCCTACCCCTCTGCCCTATCTAGAGTTCGTCTATTCCTCTCATGCTCCCTCTCCCTACTCCACTATGAATCGGCCTCCTTCTATCAAAGAAAACACTCAGCATTTGGTTTTGGGGGATTGAAGAATAAAATATTAAGTTAACCAACTCCATCCATTTACCTGCAAATGCCATGATTTTATTATCTTTTATTGCTGAGTAATATTCCATTGTGTATATATGCCACATTTTTTAATCCATTCATCTACTGAAGGGCCTCTAAGCTGGTTCCGCAATTTAGCTATTGTGAATCGTGCTGCTATAAACATTGATGTGGCTGTGTCCCTTTAGTATGCTGTTTTTAAGTCCTTTGGGTATAGACTGAGGAGAGGGATAGCTGGGTCAAATGGTAGTTCCATTCCCAGTTTTTCAAGGAATCTCCATACTGCTTTCCATTTTGGCTGCACCATTTTGCAGTCACACCAGCAATGTATGAGTGTGCCTTTTCCCCACATCCTCATCAACACTTATTGTTGTCTGTTTTCTTAATAGCTGCCATTCTGACTAAGTGAAATGAAATCTTAGAGTAGTTTTGATTTGCATTTTTCTAATTGCTAGAGATGATGAACATTTTTTCATATATTTGTTGATTGATTGTATATCATCTAAGAAGTGTCTGTTTGGGTCCTTGGACCATTAACTGATTAGGTTATTTTTTTTTTTTTGGTGTTTAGCTTTTTAAATTCTTTACATACCCTAGAGATTAGTGCTCTATCTGATGTGTGAGTGGTAAAAATTTGCTCCCAAGATGTAGGCTCTCTATTCACCTCACTGATTGTTTCTTTTGCTGAGAAGAACTACAATTAAACATGTGTGGTGCAGACCTGTAGATCACCAGGTCCTAAACATTAAAAATGCAATGTAACTTCTGGAATAAGTAGTTAACTCATTTTTCACTTAGAAAAACAACAGCTTTCAGCAGATAAATTGTTAGCACTTCATATGTCAAACTGGTACAGCTTCCAAACTCAGAATTAAAAGGACACTGTAATTTTATTTAATACTAAAATGAAATATTATCTAACATTTGATATTTGTAAGATTTTTAGGTCATTTCTATTTTTTTAACTTGGAGTTTTAGTGCAATTCTGCATTTAAATCAATGATCCTTTGCTTGAAATTACATCAAAAAAGTGAACTAAATTTGTTTTAAAAGTGAGGCGCATTACTCCTTAAGGGGAATTACTGATTTGATCTTGCAGGCTAAACTTTATGACATTGCCAGTATTTGCTTATTTTCAACCCACAAAAATGGCATATTCGTAAATTTTCTTCTTATACTTCAATTGGCTAATTCTCCTGTTTGGTCAATAATAAACTATTTTACAAAAAAAAAAAAGTAGAGTTCAGTTACCATTGACTTTCAAAGGCAACACTAGATGGCAGTAAATACACAAAAGCCGAGACATGGCAGTTCTCAGCAAGTAGTAATGACCATTTTACCCTTTACTCAACTTCGTGCTGCTTTAAATCAAGCTCTAAAAAACATCCTAATTAAAAACCTCACTTAAAAATTTAAAGGTAGCTGGCTTCGAAAATGTGAGACAAAAAAAGCTATTAAAACTATCAATTCATCCAATTTTAAATTAAAAAGTTTAAGTTAAGTTAAACATCAACTTTAAAAAATTATTGCATTTTCTAAGACTTCTTTGTTAACAAATTCTAACCATATAATTATATCTAGATGCTAACTAATTTGGAGAAAATGTTTAACTTAAATTGATTTTTCCATCAAGATGTTAAAAATGTATATAAGACTTTACTTCAAATATATATTTAGAGTTTACTTATTATGGCTTTTTGGGAATTACTGAAATCTCAACTCATGTAGAAGCCATAAATAAATTATGAAAGTACAGCATGCCATTAACATGCTACAAGAAAAACATTCTTTTAAAACCAAATAAATACTAACATTATCTAGACTCCAGAAAAAAAATAAGAACTAAATAATAATTTTATTTTAAAATAATAAATTTAAGATTTTTACTTAGTTACCTGAAAAGATATTTCCAGGTTTAAGAGGAAAATCTTATAAATATAAAGAAACATGTTAATTTGATCCACTGATAGTTTTGATAAACTTTTTGTAACAACCTTTTTTGATTCCAACTTTACTGGGGTATAATTGACAAATAAAAATTGTATATATTTAAGGGTACAATATATATTGTGAAATGACTAACACAATTAAGCTAATTAACATGTCTATCACCTCATGCAGTGACCTTATAACAATGTGAATCGTAATTTCAGCATGATTTTATAAGCTTAAATGGTAACAAACCAAAAACTTACTTTTCCTTATTTGTAAATGTTCCTCTTTTTGGATCATTACAAGACCAGATGGCGTTCAGTTGAGGTCTCAGTAACACTAGAATAAAATTAGCTAACTTACTAATTTTTTGATTACTTCTAACACCTTCTCTGAGATTAGTTTTGTACTTACACACAAAATGCTCAATTTATAAGCCAAAGTGAGGGCACTCTCAAATGTAGGAAGTCAGTAAAGTAACAGGAGACAGCCAGCAAATCTCCCAAAGTAAGAGAACTGGGCCCTGGTACCTGATTAAGGTATCATTAAATGCAAAAAAAAAAAAAAAAAAAGCAGCAGTCTGATCAATGGTACTGTACAAGAAGGAAGACAGCTAGTCAGAAATCAGAAGAAAGAGAAGACAAAATCAAGAGGTGGTTGACACTAAACTCATCCTGCACTGCTCAGAAGTTGACAAATGGACACCAAGACCTGGCTCAGAACACAGACCTGCTCTGTTTGGAGGCAGGGGTCGTTTTCAGGTTTCCGTGTCCCTCAAGACTATTACATTTTCCCTGTTCTGATCATCATTCACCAGGAAATCATTTAATAACCAATTCCACTTGTTCTATAACACTAACTATTATGGTCACTGTAAAAGTATCTCCTACCTGAAATCAGCTACTTGACATACTGGTAGGCCCCTTATACATCTTAATAGTTTACAGTTTATGTTAATCCCAAAAGCCTAACCAATCTTGGATGGCAAATAATTCTGTATTGGCAAAGGCAAGTTTCTAGATATTCAAAGTTATGGGCATAACCTAAATCAAGAAGCCCAGCCAGCTGGTTTCTCCCTCTCCAAAGAACCTCTGTCTTATTCACTCATTTCTGCAGGTAATAAATCAGTCTTGCAAATAGCTCTCCAAAATCTTACTCAACTCACAACATTCAAAATCGACTTCCTTTTATCTGCCAGGGCCAATCTCTTTCCCCTCCTACATACTACTGTCTAAAATCACTCTCAAAATGCATATTCTACATGTAGCATCTATTATGAATATAGATTCCTATGAAATATGATAAAAGAGCAAAAAGGGCAAAGCAGAATATATTTCTCTAGCTAATTCCAGAAATGTACACATTCATAATTTCATTTCTTCTATTCAACCCTGAGTCCGAAGGCCTTGGGGATATGAAACATCACTCTCTGTTCCTGCTAAATACTGCTTTAATAAATTTCTATAACTGTTCTACTTTTAAAATTTTGAAAAATGAAAGGTTATGGTATTCTTTTAACAATGATAAACACTAGCAATGAAAAATCTTTGGGAAAATTCTTCTATTTACTTTTGATTAGTGTTTAATTTTCAAGGTGTTGTAAGAATCCATATTCTAAAACATAATAACAAAGGAAAAACTGAAAAGTACAGAGACAGCCTACCTGTACTTTGCATGTTAAATTATGTATTATTTCACAAATTATATTGTGGAGTTTGATAGTGTTTCACAACAAATTTTATATTTGTGGCAAATGAGACATAAATCATTATTAACAAGCATTACTTAGGATTTGCTTAAGAAAACAGAAGTGACATTTCCCCAGAATAGAAAAAAAAAATACCTGTTAAATTTGTAGGATGTTATTCCAAAGAGGATTTATCCACTCAGCACAATAGCTAAAAAAGTCACTTCCTATTTGCATCCTGATAATCTGGGCAGTAACCATAAATAAACAGCCTGAATCCTCTTGTCCTCTATTTGAACTGTGCTGCTTTCTTACCAGTAAATGCATGATACTGAATTGTCATGGTCAGCAGGGACAGCACTGCTTTAGAATAGATAACAGAGATATCTGATATGGATGCTATTTCAAATAATAAATTTTCACTTACCTCCACTGCTACTACAATCAAAATGAGGTCTGTTTTTGACTCTGGAAAGACTGCATTCACTTGAGGTGACATTCCAATCAGAGCACAATTAGTGACCACAGATATGACACTCATTGTTTCAAAAGCCAGCTAAAATAAAGAAGAATGTGAAGTTGCAATGACCGTTTTCATAGTTCCTTATCCTTTTCTTTTTCATATTATCTAAAAATCAAGAAAAAGTCTTTCCCCACATTCTACACATTTCAAGTACATTTTAAACTTTTCTTCTGTCGTGTTTTGATTTTTCTTTCGTTGAAAAAAGCTATACTGTTAGAGGGTATTGTAGACAATTTGGCTTGACTATCCTGAAGAAATATGTTCTACTGTCTCAACTGGAGGTGACCAGGCACCTGAATTTGGAATACATCCAATACACTGTTAAAGCTATTCTACTCTACTCATATTTAAGAGGAATCTAAAGGGCCACCAGAGAAAATATCTCACAAATACACATAATACTTGAAACAATTTATTTTGTGAAGCTGTCTTTCCACTTTGACAGATCACATAACACATCCAGTTTAACTATAACCAACACCAATTCTAAAGAGTGATTCTTTCCTAGTAGCACTTACCAAACCACCATAGAACCTTAGAAGTGCAGAGATGCCAGGCTCTATTGAGACCTACTCTCATCCTTGATCCTGTGAAGGAGATCTTGGTGCACACTTCCAGGTATGGGTAGAAAACAGTACTGGCCGTGGCTCTTTTTCTTTTTTTAACATAAAGCTCGGGCTATCACTACTTGATAACCACTAATTCCAAGAAATATAAAGTCTTTATTCCTATTTTAACTTTACCTCTGTTGTATCTTCTAATGGTTATTTGTATATGAAACAGTTACTTACTTCTGTATGTTAAGTTTGTGAGTTATTATATCTTCATATTACTTGTAGCAATTTTGATTCTCTGGGTTTTTCCAATCATATAATCCAATGATCACATCATCTCCAAACAGAGTTTTAGCTCTATTCCTACTTTTTATACATATAATTCCTTTTCTTATCTAATTAGTTTGGGCAGTAATTCTAGTGCCATACTCAACACTAAAAGTGATCACAGACACCCTCATCTATTAAAAGCCATTTGGTTTTGTTTTACTGTGTACTTAATATCTTTAAATAAAGGTGATTTGTATTATTCTTATTCCTGTTTCTAGTTTTCCTTGCACTCATCTGTGTGCACATGTCAGTTCAAATAATTGTAACACATGTTTGATTTCATTTATCTGCCAGAACAGTCAAGACACCAAACAGTTCAGCACCTCAAGGAGTCCTGTTGTTGCCCTTGTATAATTTATCTAGCCCTCACAGTCACTAAGCTGCTTTTCTCTTCTAAAATTTTGTCATTTAAAAAATGCTACATAAATGAAGTGATATGTTATGAAACCTCTTTTTTCATTCATTATAACTGCCTGGATATTCATCTAAATTGTTCCACATAGCAAGAGTTTGTTCCTTTTTATTGCACAGTGGCATTCTATGGTATGAAGAACATTTGGTCTGATTCACTTTTGTGCTCTTACAAATAAAGCTGCTATAAACGTTTCTGTACAGATTTTTATAGGAACATAATGTAAGGAACATAATGTAACTTTTCTCTGAGATAAATGTCCAAAGGTAGAATCATGAGTTTATAAGGCAGTTGCAAGTTCAGTCTGATAAGAAAGAGCCAAGCTGTTTCCAGAGTTGTGTGACATTTTATATTAATTATTCTGTATCCTTACCAGTTCCGGTACTGTCACTTCATTTATTCTAGCTACTCTGATAGGTGGGCAGTAGTATCTAATTGTGGTTTTGGTATGCATTTCCCTGGATAATGTGCAACATCTTTTTATGTACTTATTTGCTATTAGCATGTCCTCTTTGGAAAAATGTCTGTGCATATGTTTGGTCCTTTTCAAACCAGACTGTTTATTTTCACTATTGAGTTTGGAGAGCTCTTTATATATTCTAGATAGTTGTCCTTTGTCAGATATGTGGTTTGCAAATACTTTCTCTCAGTCTGTTCATATTCTTTCACATGGGCTTTCACTGAAGAAATTTTAAAAACTGTCATTAAATTCAATGTATATATTTTTCCTTCTTATGAATTATACTTTAGGTTTTACATCTAAAACATTTTTTCCTTCCTCTAGAACCAAAAGATTATCTGCATTTTTTTCCTAAAGGTTTTATAGGTTTACATATTTTACTTAATCACATGATCCATTTGTGATTTTTTTTAATAAAGTATGTCCAATTAATCTGGCACCAAGTTTAAAATGCTGTCCTTCCCCTACTGAATGAATTACTTTGGCAGTCTTGTCAAAAACCACTTGGGCATACTGGTATGGGTCTATTTCTGAGTTCTCAACTCCATTCTTCTGTGTCTTTCCTTCTACTAATACTACATCATCTTGATTACTGGTTACTTGATTATGTAATAAGATTTAATATCCGGTAGCCAGGTAGCATGTCTTGCCCTAACACTTGATTTTTCTCTCTAAAGGTTGGTTTAGATATCCAAGTGCTTGTGCTACCCATATAAATTTTAGAATAAACTGTCTATGTCTATAAAAATCCTTACTAAGATTTTGACAGTTATTGCATTAAATCTATAGATCAACTTGGGAAGAAATGACATCATTATTCTGTTCAGTCTTCTAATCCACAAGCATGTTAAGTTTCTCCATTCACTCAGGTCTTTGATTTCTTTCCTCAGAATTTCATAATTATCAGCATTCAGATCCCAAACACGTTAAGTGTATATCTTCAAGTTCTTTGAAGCAATTACAAATGTTGCCGTTTTAAAATTTCTTCACATTTCATTGTTAGTATATAGAAATGTGACTGATTTCTGTGTAACAATCCTGAAACCCTACCAAACACCCTTATTAGCTCTAAGAGAGTTCTGCAGATTCTTTGGAACTTTCTATGTAAACAATCATATCATATGCAACTTGGGACTGCCTTATTTCTTCCTTTTCAATTAGTATGTCTTTTATTCTTTTTCTTAATTATTTACACTAAACTTCCAGTACTTAGGCTTAATAAAAGTAGTAAGAGTACACATGCTTGCATTCTTCTCAATCTTAGAAAGAAAGCATTCATTGTTTCACCACTGAATATGATATGAACTTTAGGATTTTAATAGATGTTCTTTATCAAGTTGAAGTACTCTTATTTTTCTAAGTTTGAATGAGGTTTAGCTTTTGTCAAATACTTCATCTGCATTGATTAGTATAATCATGTGATTTTCTTCTTTAGGTTATTATGGTGGATTATATCAATAGATTTTCAAATGCAAAAGCAGGCTTCATCCCTGGACTAAATCCCCCTTATAATGGTATATAATTCTAGAAACATTGCTAAATTATACTTGCTAGTAGGTTTTAAGATGTTTTGTGTATATATTCATGAGAGATTTTTAAAAACACTTTATGTCTGGTTTTGCTATTGAATTGATAGTATAATTCATAAAATGAATTGGGAAATCTTTTTTCCTCCTCTATTTTCTGTAAATTAGTGTTAATTCTTTCTTTTTTAATATTTATTTTTTAGGTATACATAGACACAACAAAATGCTTTATTTTTATGTGGTGCTGAGGATTGAACCTGGGTCCCACCTGTGCTAGGCAAGCACTCTACTGGTGAGCCACAATCCCAGCCCCATCTTTCTTTAATTTTTTTTTTTTTAGTTATAGTTGAGCACAATACCTTTATTTTATTTATTTTTATGTTGTGCTGAGGATCAAACCCACCATCTCCCATGTGCTAGGCGAGTGCTCTACTGCTGAGCCATAACCTCAGGCCCCAGTGTTAATTCTTCTTTAAATGGTAGAATTCACCAGTGAAATTATCTGAGCCAGAACACTGATTGGCAGGGGAGGGAAGGGTCTGTAATTACAAATTCAATTTCCTTCATGGTAATAGGTATGCTTAAATGGTCTATTTCATTTTAGGTGAGTTGTGAAAGTTTGTACTTTTTGAAAGAATTGGTTCATTTCACCCAAGTTGTCAAGTTTGTGCTTGTAGAGCTGCCCACAGAATTCCCTTGTTACCCTTTTGATGACTATAAGATCTGTAGTGACATCCTCTTTCATTTTTACATTGTTATTTGTCTTTTCTCTCTTTTTTAGTCTTGCTAGATGTCTATCAATTGGAATTTCCTTTTCAAAAAGCCAGATTTTTGTTTCACTGATCTTTTCTATTATTTTTGCTTTCATCTTCACTGGTTTGTACCTTCTCTTTATTATTTCTTTATTCTGCTTGCTTTGAGTTTATTTTCCTTTTCTAGTTTCTTGAACAGGAAGTGAGATTTTTTACCTGAATTTTTTCCAGCACATGCATTTAATGCTATAAATTTCTTTGTCAGGGCTGCTTTACCTATGCCTCACAAATTTTGATATACAATACTTGCATTTTTATTCAGCTTCATGATTCTTTTGATTTTCTTTGACACATGGCTATTCTGAAATGTGTTATTTGGTTTTCAGGTATTTGGAGATTTTGCTGTTATCTTTCTGTCACTGATTTTTAGTTTGGTTCCACTGTGACCATACTTTGTATGATTTCAATTCTGTTCTATGTACCAAGATATGGTCTATCTTATTGAACATTCTGAATGCATTAGAAAAAAATGTGTATTCTATTGTTGTTGGTTGGAATGTTCTATAATGTCAATTAGATACTGTTATTTGATGGAATCAATAAATTCTTCTGTATTCTTGCTGATTTTGTATTTAGTTGTTCTATCAATTGTTGAGGAAGGAGTGTTGAAATCCTGAACGATAACTGTGAATTTATCTACTGTTCCTTTCTGGTCAGGTTTTTTGTTCACCTCTTGTTTGGTAGATATATACCTAAAGACTGATATTATCTTCCTAAAAAATTGACCCTGTGATCATCATAGAATATTCCGCTCTGGTAATGTTTTGCTCAGAAGTCTACTTTCTCAGATACTAATATGGCCACTCCTGCTTTTTTAGAGCAATAAATCCATATTTATCTTTTTCTTTCCTTTTACTTTCAATCCATATATATCACCATTTAGACTGAGTTTCTGATAGACTATATATATGTACATACATTTTTTTTCTTCAATTGATATCTTCAGACCATTTACATTTTAAATAATCATTAATGTTAGGACTTCAGCCAGTCATTTCTTCATTTTCTGTTTGTTCCTTGTTTTTCATTTCTGTTTTCTTTTTCTTGCCTTACTGAGGTTTACTTAATTATTTTTTAGAATTTCATTTTGATTTATCTATAATGTTTTGAGTATGTCTTTTGTATAAATTTTTAGTGGTTGCTCTACAATTACATTACATATATATAACTTAACATATTCTACTTGTCCCATCACTTACCAATTTGAGTGAAGCAAGGAAACTTATCTCTTTTATTATCCCTTATCTATATTTATCTTAATATTTTCTTCACATATGTTTAGAATTATAAGTATTATAACTTTTGCTTCAAACATCAAAAAAACTAAGAAAGCTCAAGAGAAGAAGGAAAGTCTCTATTATGCTCACTTGTATTTTTAGTTCTTATACTTTTTCATTGTAATGATACTGTTATTAGATGGAATTGATGAATTCTTCTGTATTCTTGCTGATTTTGTATTTAGTTGTTGTATCAATTGTTGAGGAAGGAGTGTTGAAATCCTGAACGATAACTGTGAATTTATCTACTGTTACTTCTTTTACCATCTCCTTAGTTTGGAGAACTTTCTTTAGTCATTCTTTTAGAAAAGGTCTGCTGACAGAAAATTCTTAGTTCTTCTTCTGCAAGTGTCTTGATTTTTCCTTCACTTCTGAAGGATATCTTCTCTTGATGTAGGATTCTATATTAATAAAATTTTTCTTTATGGACTTGAAACTATCATGCTACTTTCTTCTGGCCTCTGTGGTTTCCAGTGAGAAACTGGCTCTTCTAACTGTTTCTTTCTTGTAGGTAAAATGACATTTTTCTTTTAGTGTTCCCAAATCTTTGTCTTAAGTTCTCATATGTTTAGTACAATGTGTCTTGACACAGATTTCTTTGGACTTATCTAGTTTGGGGTTTACACAGCTTATTGAATCTATTTTTTTTTTTAGGTCTTTCACCAAATTTTAAAAGTTTGTGGCCATTATTTCTTCAAATATTTTTGGCCCCTCCTTCATCATTTCCTATAACTTCAATGAATGTTACAGTCATACAGGTCACTGAGGCTATGTTTATTCTTATGGTCTATTTTCTCTGTTGTTTAGATTGTGTAATTTCTTTGTTCCATATCCAAGTTCCTAATTCTTTCCTCTATCCCACCTTCCATTCTGCTGTTGTACCATCCACTTAGTTTTCTGTCTCAGCTATTATATTTGTCAATTACAAAATGTCAATTTGATTCTCTAGCTTCTCTTTTTTTTGCTGGGACAGACAAATTCCTTTTCATTTGGTTCAGGTGTGTTCATAATTACTTGTTGAAGCATTTTTATCACGACTTCTTTAAAATCTTTGTCCAGTATTTCTAACATCTGTGTCATATGCTGATTGTCTTTCTTCATTCAGTTTGGTATCTTTCCAGTTCTTGGTATGATGAGTGATTTTTTTAAAAAAAATAGAAACCTGGGCATTTTGGGTACCATGAGGCTCTGGGTCTTTAAACCTTCTGTTGTAGTTGGTTCTGGACAGCACTCCAGCAAAGGAAGAGAGGTAATATCTTGTTACTACCAGGTGAAGGTAGCAGTTCAGGTTCCCTAATGGATACCATTAGTAGCTGAGGCAGGAAATCATTATGATTACTAGAGAGAAGTGGGTGCTCTGGTTTCTCACTAGACCTCCACTAACATCTCCTTGCTGAGAGAGGTACAAATGCCTGATCTGTATTCCCATGTCACCTCCACTGCACACTCCATTATGCTTACTCTGAGTTCACCTAGCAGGAGCTTCATTACTGCCTTCACAGGTAGGAGCAGAAATCTAGGCTCTCATGTGGTCTCCACTGAGACTGCATCAGGGAGGGTCTCTTTCTACCCCAGGAGAAAAAGTCTCTGCCAGATTCTTTCCCTGAGAATTGTCAGTTTTAAATCTGTAAGGGTCTCAGAGATTATATCTTTCATCTTATCTGCCCAACATGCCAAATTTAAAATTTTAAAAAAGTGAAGCCAGAGAAAGGAAGTTAAAGTTAATGGCTTTGTAAGGTCATATAGCTATTATGCTGCTGAGTAAGGACTAACCTCTAGTTTTGCTAATCTCTCTTTTAGGGATTGCTTTTTTGTTTGGTGTTTTTTGTTTGTTTGTTTGTTTTGTCATAATGTCTCATATTTTTAAAAATATTTTTTCTCAAATAATTACCTGCCATACACCAATACTGGCTGAAGGTTCTGAGAATGGACGTTTGAGGACTCTGCACATTTTTAAGGCATCTGAATTGACTTCAGTGAAATTATTTAGCACAGCAAAGGCAGCTGCTAATGGGTAAACACAGGAGAAAAGGCTCACATAACCAAACTGCAGGAATAACTCCAGGTAATCATCGAAGGTTCCCTGCAAATGTAAATGACAAGAAAGAGGTATTGTTTTAATGTTATATAATAGGAATACTACCCAAAGTGACTTTATATTAAATCACTGAAATAAAGAATAAAAAAGATTTAGTTGCTCATTTTCTTGTGCCAAATACTGAATCATTATATTTTTTGTATGGCAAGCAATGGCAAAGCTAAACATGCTTGCTCAACCAACTAAAAAGAAATAATCCAGTGTTTTTGTTAGAGATGGCACCTTCGTATCATGGACACCCCAGAATATCAGTCCCTGATCTTCCATTAAATAAATCAATGGTGATCATGCCAGTGAACTTGGTAATGATCACCAAAACTTTACCTTTTCATTAAAAGGGCGGAAAAATCAGAAAAGTTTCCCAGAATCAATGTTTTTATTACTCTAGAATCTAACCCTCGCTGGCAGCAACTCAGATGGCAGATAATGAAGAAAAACAGCTGAGATTTATGGAATTATATCATACTTTCGTTTTATCTCCCAATCCTTGGCTCTGCAGCAGCCTTGAAACACAACAGCATGCATTCCCAGTATTAGAGGCAACAGAGTGGGAATGGAGATCTTTGAAAGCCTCCCTCCCAAAGGGAAGCCATTATTCCATGTGGCTAGTGCTGCTCTAGAACACTTCCACTCAAAAGGCTTGTTTTCAAAGTCTCTCCCAGTGCCAAAGGCTTCTCCCTAGGGTTGGTTGTCAAATGTTCCAACATTATGTCTCCCTGGGTGGAGGGTGGAACTCTGACAAACAATAGACTAGCCAGAGAATTAAAGGTAAAGCAGAGGAATGAAAAGTCAATAGGTGATTTAAAAAGCTCTAACACTTTCCTGGGACTCTAGAAGAACAGGCAGGTACATACGACCATATACATGCTCACAACCATATACATGCTCAGGACAGACCTGAGAAAACTCTATGATCTCACTTCTAATTGACCGTGATGCTATGCACAAGCAGGAGTTGTAAACTTCCTGGTGCTTATATCATACCCAACACAAAAGCAGAGACCTAACACATAGCTAAGAACATTGAACTCAACAACTGCAAAGTTCACATTCTTCTCAAATGCAAGTGGAACATGCTCCAAAATAGATGTTATGTTAAGCCATGAAACAATTCTCATAAATTTAAAAGTCTTAAAATCATACAAAGTATCCTCTCTGGAAACTGGAAATCAGTAACAAGGAAATTTCAGAAATTCACAAATATATGAAAATTGAACAACATAAAAAAAAGTGTCAAAGAAGAAAAAAATCACATGAGAAATTAGAAGATATTTTAAGACAAATGAAAATAAGGGTACAATATACCTAAACTTACAGGATGTCACAGAAGCAGTGGTCAATGGTAAATTTAAGACTGTGTATGCATCTGTTAAAAAATAAGACATCTCAAAACAATATAAATTTCTGTCAAAACAGACTTGAAAAAAACAATTAAACTAAATCCAAAGCAAGCAGAAGAAAATAAATAACTAGATGAAAATAAACAAAATAGAATAGGAAACCAGTAGAGAAGATCAATGAAACAAAAAAATTGGTTCTTAGAAAAACATTTTTTAAAAAGATGAATGGATGGATAGATGGATGGAAGGAAAGGAGGAAGAAGTAAGAAAGAAAAAACATTATTTAATATACTAGGAAAAAAGAGAAGATTCAAATTACTAAAATCAGGAATATAAGAGCGACTATTACACTGATTATAAGGATTATAAGGGAATATTATGAATAATTGGATTCCAAAAGAAAATAGAGTATAGATAAAATGGACAAACTCAACTCCCAGAGTGACACATCTACTAAAAGTGACTCAAGAAGAAACGAACATCTGTTCTGTTTCTGGCAAGTAAAGAGATCGAGTTCATAATCAAAAACTTCCACAAAGAAAAGCCAAGATCCAGACAGCTTCACTGGTGAACTCTATAAAATTTAAAGAAGAATTCATAACAGGGTTCAAACTCTTCCAAAAAGAAGAGGAAGGAACAATTCCCAAATTATTCTATGAGGCCTATATTATCCTAGTACCAAAATCATACAAACACATTGCAAGAAAACTATAAACCAATATCTCCTATGAATAGAAATGTAAAAGGCCTCAACAAAATACTATCAAGCTGGATCCAGCAGCATATCAAAAGTAATTTAAACCATGACTAAGTGAAATTAATCCTAGGATTATGAGATTAGTTCAACATATATGTATCAATTAATGTGACCAACCACGTTAATATAATAAAGTTTTAAAGACAGAAAAACAAAATCTAAAACCCTTTCATGATAAAAACACTCAACAAATTTGGAATAGAAGGAAATCCCCTCAAGCTGATAAGCCATATCTACAAAACAACCATAGTTAACACATTAAAGGTTAGAGACTAAAAGCTTCCCAACAAAGGTCAGGAATGGGACAAAGACACCTGTTCTTTTCTATTCAACACTGACCTAGAGGTTCTAACCAGTAAAATTAGGCAAGAAAAAAAAATGAGCTATCCAGAAGAGTTAAAAAATTAAAGCTATCTGTGTTTGCAGAAAATATAATCTTATACATTCCTAAAGAATCTACAAAAAATCCTGAGACCTAACAAATGATTTTAGAGTGCAGGATTCATGATAAACACACAAAAATCAATGGAATTTCTACATACTAGCAATATAAATTGAAAATAAAATTAAGAAAACAATTCCAGTCATAATAACATTGAAAAGAATAATTTACCTATAAATGTAGCCAAATTAGAGTAAGACTTGTGCATTGAAAACCATAAAACACTGTTAAAAGAAACTGAAATATACCTAAAAATGTACAGACATTCTGTATGTACTAAGGTGGAAGACTTAATGTCATTAAGATGACAATAGTCCTCAAACTGATCTGTAGATTCAGTGCAATTCCCATCAAAATTTCAATTGCATTTTTTTATAGAAATGGATAAGCTGATCCTAAAACTTGGATGGAATTTCAAGGAACCCAGAACAGCCAAAACAATCTTGAAAAAGACAAAGTTCAAAAAAAAAAAAATCACAATTCCTAATTTAAAAAACCTACTGAGCTACAGTATCAAGACAGGGTGATACTAGCATAAGGAAAAACAGACAGGTCTAAGGAATATAGCATTAAGAATCCAGAAATAAACCCCTACATCAAAGGTCATATAATTTTCAATAAGAGTGCCAAGACCATTCAATGGAGAAGAAATGATCTTTTCAATAAATGGAGGTAGGACAACTAGATATCAAAGAACAAATTTGAACCTGACCTCTCCCTCACATCAAACATAAAAATTAACTCAAAATGGATCAAAGACCTAAATATTAAAGCAAAAGCATAGAACTTTCACAAGAAAATCTAGGGGTAGATTTGACTGACCATGGGATTAGAAATAATGGTTTCTTAGATGTAACCCCAAACTCATGTGCATCAAAAAAAAAGAGATAAATCAGACTTCAAAATTAAAAACATTTGTAGATCAAAGGCAATATTAAGAAAAGGAGGGCTAGTAGTATAGCTCTGTGGTGAAACACTTGCCCAGCATGTGTGAGGCCCAACACTGTAAAAGACAGACAAAAGAAAGAAAAAGAAAAAGTAAAAAAGACAACCCACAGAACGGAAGGAAATATTTGCAAGTTATATATCCAATAAGAGACTTGGATTCAGGCGGGGGCTGGGGCTGGGGCTCAGCAGTAGCACACTTGGCTGGCATGTATGAGACACTGGGTTCGATTTTCAGCACGGCATATAAATAAAATAAAATAAAATAAAGGTCTATCAACAACTAAAAAAATATTTTAAAAAGAGACTTGGATTCAAAATATGTAAATAATTTTTACAACAGAATAAAAACACAATCCAATCAAAAAATTGGCAAATAATGTGAATATATACTCCTCCAAAGAAGATATACAAACGACCAAGAAGCACATAAAGAAATGATCAACATCCTCAGTCCTTAAGGAAATATATGTCAAACACACAATGAGCTATCATTTCAAACCCACTAGGATGGCTACCAAAAAAAAAGAAGAAGAAGAAAGAAAATACCCAGCAGAAAATTGCAAGTTGGGATGAGTACATGTCAAAATCAGGACTCTAATAAGGGATGACAGGAATATAAAACCATACCACTGCTTTTAAAACAATCTTGTGATTCCTACAAAAGTTACACAGGGAGTTAACTCATATGACCCAGAATGTGGTAATGTATGTTTATACATATATTCATACAAAACCTTATAACATTAGTCATAATAACCAAAATGTAGAAACAACCCAAATGTCCATTACAAATGAACAAAGTGCAGTATATCCATAAAATAGTATATTATTCAGTCATAAAAAGGAATGAAGTGTCAGTACATGCTACAACATGGACAATCCTAACAAGCATTATGCTTAGTAAAAAGAAGTCAGACACAAAAAGTCAAATATTACATGATTTCATTTATATGAAATGCAAAGAATAGGTAAATCTGTAGTTACTATATTAGCTTTTCATCACTATGATGAAATACCTGACAAAATAAACTTGGAGGAGAACGGGGGTTTTTTTGACTCAAAGCTTCAGGAGTTTCAGTCCATGATCGGATGGTTCCATTGCTTTTAGGCCTGAGGCAGGAAGAAATATCATGGTAGAGGGCATGTGGAAGAAAACTGCTCACCTCAAGGTGGCCAGAAAGCACAGAGAAAGAGAACGCCAGGGGCCAGGAACAAGATGTACCCTTCAAAGGTACCCACCCCTTTCCAGTGACCCATTTCTTCCAATTAGGCCCATCTCCTAAGGTTTCCACCACCTCCCAACAGCACCATCAGCTGGGGACCAAGCCCTTCAATATATGAGACATTGGGGGACATTCCAGACTAAACTATAACAGACATAGAATATAGATAGTGGCTGCCCAAAGGCTGGGGAATGGAGGACTGCTGATGGACATGGAACGATGAAATGTCTGGAGTGACAAGGGGTGACAGGAGCACAGACTTGTAAATTTACTACAAACTATTAAACTGTGGTGAAGTTTATGGTAAGTAAATTACATCTCAATTTAAAGTAAAGAGAAAAATACCACTGATGGTAACAAGAAACCCAGCCCAGAGTCACTAAGAGAAGTAGCAGAAACATTAATGAGGCCAAAGAAGAGATATATTACTGGCTTCATTAGTGACAGAAAATGGGGATACCATAAGGAAATCCCCCTTTCTGCAGAAGGGAAGTGAAAAAAAGTCACTGTGATCTTTAATAACTGCAGAAAGGAGCCTTCAGTGTGCTGGGACTCCTGGGAATGGTGACTCTTAATCTCAGTCACCATATCTGGACAGTGCCACTCAAGTGCCTCATCAGAGGCTGAGGGCTCACAATACCTCACATGTCCTGACCTGGGAGATCAGGACGAGGTACTGTGTACTAGCTAGGTACTGTGATCTCAGGGCACAGTGATCAAGGTTTAGAGCCAGCCTGCATGACACCAGAAGCCACGCTCACATCTTATTGCCAATGTTTATCCAACTTCTGGCATCCTCATGTCTCAGGATCATGCAGCACACACACAATAATAATTCCAGTTTAAGAGAAATATTTATACACTGTTTCCAAACAATATTGAAAAAATAAGCAATATTGAGCACTATATTTAAAGTTAATAAATATAATAATTATTGCTATATCTCCCACATGGTCTTTCATCAAGATAAACATATTAGAATCAGTAGCTGACAGCTTTAGTATAAATCAGATTCTACTTCCAGCCAGTTTCTTTTCTTACTTTATACTTCACTTAAATAGAAAATCCTAAACACAGTTGTGGGGAGTAGGAATGGAGGAAGTACTTCTTTCAAATGCTCCAGATATTTGCATGAAATAGCCCAGGGATTCCAGGTCTCAGTGGCTATTTTCAAGATTCAGCAGAGAGAAACACTAAACACTTGAACCTTGGAGCTGGCAAGCCAAATGTTCAGCTTGGGCTCAGTGGGGAGCAGTCTCTAAACTGCTCACTGGTTGCATTTGGCTCCAGAAAATATTTCCTTATGTTGTGTTGCAAGCATCAAGATGTGGTTTTTAAATATGCCCAGGAAAATAATATCAATTTACTTCCTTGAAGAGTGAAGAAATCACAAGTTGGGAAAGAGTAAAAATTTTAGCAATCAAGCCATTTTTACCATAGTTCAGTCTTAAGAAATCCTAACATCCTATGCTCAGCATTCAAAATTATATTATTCCAGCTTGTAAAGGTCAAGCCTTTGTAGGTATGTGCAGTCAGTATCTCTCAGATGCTCCTGGGCAGGCTCTGGGAGTCATACACAGGCTTCTGGCATTGTTAGTGTACAGAGCCCTTCCCAGCATCACAGCAATGCGCTCTCTATTCTGTGTTTCAATCCCACCAGGGGATTCTGAGTGAATCAGTATTTTTAAACTTCTGAGTGCATTTGAAACAATAAATTTAGCAAACCAAGATAACCCAACATCAAGAAGGAAAAAAAATACATGTTTAACAAAGTAAATACACACATAATATAAGAATACATTAACTAAGGCACTTCTCTACTTTATTCCCTGGAAAGTTAGGAATGACCAACTAAGACAATTCTAAGAACTTAAGTACAAACTTTAAGAACAAAATAGTTTTTAAAAATACTATGACAGTGAAAGCCATAGCTAATTTTACATATCTACTTTATTAAGTGTATGAAGATATAGTTCCAGGTTTGGAGTGACCCACCCCACTTGCTCCTTATATCGTTTGTCTCAGAGTTCCCTGCACAGAGCTTACTCATATAATGTAGATTTGAATGGCAGGAAAAAAGCATAGAATGAAGGCCACAGGGCAGAGACCACAGAATCTGGGCTGTTCTTTTCCCAACACTGTTCCTTATTAAGTATTATACTGAATGCCTGCTAAATGCTCTATGTTTGAAACAGGGTTTCCGTAATGAACTCAAGTGACTGAGAAAGGAAAATTGTGAGCTGATGGTTTAAAAACCCCAAATAAGATATTAGCATACTTGACCATAGCAATGTACATAAAAACACTGAACAAATAGTTAATCATTCAAATTTGAACGTGGTGTTCCATTAGGAAATGTACTCATATTAATAAAAACACTAATAAATTAAGGAAATAATATAACAATCACAACAGAAGCAACAACAACAATAAAAAACCCTTGATAAAGCTTAACATTGTTCATGATTTAAAAAATCTTTAGAAAATAAGCAACAGAAAACATTTTTAAACTGATAAAAGTTATACCCCAGCAACATGGAACAAATATAACACCCAATGGAGAGAAGACAAAAAATCAGGAACAAGAAAAATATTGCTGTTATAACCACTTCTTTCCAAATTACAGTGAACATGAGAATAAGCCTAAAAGATATAATAAAAAGAATAAAAACTGAAGAAAGAAATAAAATAGACATTTGGGGAAAAAAATACTGGAAAAAATAGCAGCATTCAGCAAACATGCTCGGTAAGACTCAAAACTCAACAGCATTTCCATATGCTAGCAATGATTAGAAAATACATTTTTAAAGACATGTATAAGGAACAGAGAAGTCTCAAAGTATCTACCCAAGGATAACTCATTATAAAATTAAAAAGAATCCTTAGAATCTGCCAGCAAGTCAACCAAGTGATCAAGCACAGTGGCCCCACCAAAGGGTCAAGGGTAGAGTCTCCTGACTGGTATGAGAGAGGGCACCTCCAACATCATTCACAGTGGCCTCATGAGGAAATGGACAACAGATTCAAAAAAGTCAGTGTCTTCAAGCATGAGAGAGGGAGACTATTCTGGATCTGCAGTTTTCAAATTCTGTAGCTTAGACTCTTAAACGTTACTGAGGATGTTAAGAACATTCTCATGCGAGTTTTATCTAGCGTTATTTATCATATTGAAATTAAAACTCAAATTTAAATTTTTTTCATTAATTCATTAAAATAATAACATTAACAAAAATAAAATATCTTTAGAAAAATATACTCATTTTTAACATAACTGATTATTTTTTAATTTTTTTATTTGTTTTAATTAGTTATACATGTCAGTAGAATACATTTATACACTTTGACATATCACACATAAATGGGATATCATTTCTCATTTTTCTGAGTATACATGTTGTAGAATCATATTGGTCATACAGTCACAAAAATATATAAAGTAATAATGTCTGTTTCATTCTACTATCTTTCCTATCCCCACATCCCCTCCCCTCCCTTCACTTCCCCCACCTAATCTAAGGTAATACTATTCTTCTCTAGTGCCCCCCGCCTTATTGTGAATAAGCATCCGCATATTACAGAAAACATCAGGCCTTTGATTTTTTGGGATTGGTTTATTTCGCTTAGCATGATATTCTCCAGCTCTATCCATTTACTGGCAAATGCTACAATTTCTCTCTTCTTTAAAGCTGTATAATATTTCTTTGAGTATATATTCCACACTTTCTTTTTCTTTTTCTTTTTCTTTTCTTTTTTTTTTTTTTTTAGAAAAATACACTTATTTAAATGTAAAAAGGGACATCACTTACATTTTTGGCAAACCTCACTAATGTCTAGCTTAAGAGATAGCAGCTCACTTACTGTGGGGCGATTATTGTTCTGGGTGGAGCAGGCATTGTGAAAATTCCTGTACCTTGGCTAGGTAGTTGGGTAAAAACTAGCAGTTTCAAGAAAAGGACAGCAGTGGACAATGAAGACCCAAGAAGCTGCCCAGCCCTAGTCTGGAGCTGGTAGAGCAGGGGTCAGGGGTGCCAGTGGGTCATCCTAGGTGTGGATACGACAGAGGAATTCCTTTTTCTTATTTGTTCTATCCTGCATTTGCCAAGTTTTCTATAGTAATTGAGCAAGTATTACTTTTACAATAATGTTCTCAAAAATTTCAACCAAACTGCTTTTTCCCAAAGCTTGGCAACATTATCTTAGACTCATGCAGCTAGTCAGGATGAAATCACAGAACATGTAATCCTAAATTTTCTGACTTCAGTGAGGAGCAAAATACACCACAAGGGAAGGATCAATGCACCAGAAACAATCATCTAGAACAAATGTGCCCCAAAGCATTTCTCCTCTCCAAATACATTAAAGATAACAAATACCTAATGCTGCTCCAGTGGAGAGAGTATACTGGGAACTTATGGGAGACCAGGAGGACCCTACAGGCAAGCTGAGAAGGAACCCTGTAAGCCTGGAGTTCACTTACAGTCCCAGGACCTGCCAGGGAGATTAATACACCAGTTCTTCTCATGTCACATCACAGATCCTCTGAGCTGTACAACAGAAAGCCTATAAACTGGGAAAACCAAGTCTTGACCCCTGTTCCTGATTTAGTCACCAATGACTAACAACATAGAGCTTCTACTTTTCTTCAAAATCTCAGTGTAATTCTAGAGCTGAAGTGCTATCACACATAAGCAGTAAATTCAGGTAATACGAGCCTCCTTCACCTTCCTTCATAAAGGCATTGTCAGTTGGACTGAAATGCCACAAGAGGCAAGATCTATGATCTTGGCAGTGTCACCTTATTGCATGCAGTTCTCAGAGGAGTAAGAACTGTACACACAGGTCTGTGTTGTTTGGATTATTGTATACCATTTACTGAGCCAGGGAAAAGAGGAGGAAGTTCTCTGGAGACATTGTGAACTTGGTTTGGACACTTTAGGGGGTGATGTCATTTACCCAATTTCAGAGAAAAAGAATAGCCGAAAGCAGAGTCTAACGAATTATAGGAAGAAAATTAGGATACTGACAATATGGAGATTTTATCTCAAGAAATTGTGAGGGACAAGAAAGAGACAGGACAAACCACACAGGAGGTGAGGGGTTTGCTTAGTTTAAAATAGGAAAGCTGCTGAGGACTGGGGCAGGGACCAAGAGGAAGGAAGAAGGAGAGCCAGGAGCAGCTGGTGAAGGCTGGGAAAATGTGGCCTCCAGGGCAGGGAGGTGAATGATGACATGACGGAGAGATTGCTGGGTTAGTTTCTGGAACAGCATGAAGAAAGAAAAACAAATCTGGCTCCCCCCAAAAAACTACTCCTTGCACAAGCAAGAAGAGGATCCTGACATAATGTGACTTAACTGAGACTGGGTTTTAACCCACAGCAGATGGGCATTCAGAAAGGGTAGCTCCACTGTATCCATGAGCTCCCCATCTCTAACTCCTCCTCTGTGTGCATGTTCTCTGCCGTTCACATATAAGCACAAGTGGCACTGTCATTCTAATTGTGCTGTGTATTTATACTTTATATCTTCTCCCCTAAACACAGAAATGACAGAAAATGCAACTGTGTATATAGATATTTTAATCAAAAGACATATCCCCAGTCAGAAACAAGAAAAACAGGTGCATACGTAAGAAATGGAATAAAAGAAGATGGGAAGGCAGAACATGGCCAGGCTCCAACTCCACAGGCAGGCCAAGGTGGCTCAGATCTACTTCCTGTCAGGCAGGAGAACTGAGAACAGAGAGCACCCCTCCCTGGAGTTTAACTGGAACCAGGCAGAATGACAACCCCCACCCATCTTGAAAAGGAGGCTGAAAAAAGTTACAATTGCAGCCAGGAACTACAATTTGTGTGGACAGCTAACTACTGGCTCCATGACCAGAAATAGAGAATCCCCAGCAAACCAGGGGTGGAAGCCCCAGGGAACAGCTGCAATAAATAAGGCAGGGAGAAGTGAGCAGAGAGAAGAGGGAGAACTCTTACTGAAGATGAACATAAAAACCAAAATTCTTTAGCATATTAGAAAAACTATGAAAGCCAGCCAAGGAACTCAGTAATCAAAAGATGAACTTATTCTCCACGAAAAATGAAACTACGGATGTCTAACAAAATTGACCCTCACTGAGTGAACTACTGAGGGATCTATTTCACCAAGAAATAGATCTTTTACCATGCCCAAAAGGAAGGCACAGAATGCATGAAAAAGAGCCCTGAAAGAAATGTAATCCCAAAATCTCACCCCATCAAATACAGACAGTGAACACAGGTAGAGCACAATACAAGTTTATGCATACATGGCTAGATTTTTATGAGCTAAACTTTTCAAATATTATAAGCAACTAAATCTCTACTAATTTTCTTATAGTTCCTAAAAATAAATTATCTGAAAGGAACTGATTTATATCTACAACACCACTAATTTAAACTAAAAATTAATCTTCGCATTGGCATTCCATTTTCAGCAATGGTCCTCAATCTTTTGCTTGAGTGATAATTTTCTATGAGTTTGAAATGCCAAGAGTAGGCAATGCTGTTGCTTCTCTGGGCAGTCACTTCTCCCTTGCTCTGTCATCTTTGGAGCAAGTATTCCCACCTCCTGGCTCTGTAAAACTGTCAATTAATTTCCTAAACTTGCCCTTTGGTGTTATTGGGCATAACTTTTGATCCAAGATAGAAGCATTTTAATTCACTGTCAGGGGGTGGGGGTTGGGGATCAAATCCTACTTTCTGCATGCTATGCAAGTGCACTACCACTGAGCTATACCCCTGACCCATCTTTTCAACTTTAAAGTGGTTCACAGAGAGGAAACTGGCTGGAAGCACTTATAAAGTAGTCTCACCTGAGACAATGAGTGTACGACATTTTTTGAAGTCAAGCATGACTGTTATCCACTTCCAGTAATGTTTAATTCAGCAATAATCCAACTTACCATATAGGTTCCCATTTCCTTTTCCAGGATGACTTGTTCATATAATGCAACATCAATGTCTGCCTTTAAAGCCTGCACCCTCCTCTTCACCTGCACACCATGCTTCCTTTGGAGCCAATAAGGAAGAAGAGATTCCACTATTTGGTTAAGGAGCTGGGAAGTAATCAGAAGTGTGGCCAAGCTCTAAAGAGAAGAACATAAGTCATGGCAAGGTAGCTTAATAAAATTAATAATTAATAATTATGCAATAAATAAAATGAGGCCTTAAAATTATACTATTATGTTATAAAAACTAACATTAGAAAACCTATGTGTTAGAGAAGTGTTTCTGATTTACAGTTGTCACAGAAAAGACTTAGATTAAGATACAAATAAGATGATAAGAAATAAGCCAATTGAGTCAATAGGAAAATGTAGTAACCTAAAACTGTGTTCTTTGTCATCTCATCCTAACCACAACATAAAAATCTAAATGATGTTGACAACTTTGAAAAAAAAACTTTTTTAAAAAAATTGAATTATAAAATTAGCAAATGCTCACCTTGCAGTAGAAAACAGAAGAAACAAAAATCTACTCATATTTCCATAACCATGACAGAACTGCTACCACAACTTGAGGTAGTTTTCCCAATCATGTGTACAATTAAACTACAATCATCCTATACATACATGCTTTTTTATATTCCTTTTCTCAATATATTGAAAGCATTTTCCCATATCACTAAAATTTTTTTTTACATAGCTTATACACTGCTGCTGAATTAAATTTAATTCCAATTGTTCTTATTATAAAAGCTCTCATAGGATATCCCACATCTGTGAGTCTTGATCACATCTCTGATGATGTACTAGGAATGAGCTGAGGTTCTTGGGGAAGCTACCTTAGTGGTTTCCAGAGATGATGGACCAATTTCCACCTTCCCTAGGTGGAAATGAATGTTTCCATCTGACATCACCTGTGATGGCACTACACTTCTGATTTTTAAACAGTCTTCCTTCATTCCCTTCTGATAACTAAAGGAGACTCTCTAAAGATAAGAAATAAGAAGTCATACCTTAATAATACACCACTATGTGGGGTCAGAGAAGGTCCATACATTCAGCTAATCAAATCCAAATACATTATTTTTAACTTTCTAAGTTTGAAAAAATAATTTTAAAAGGTAGCAATGTATCTAGTATAATTGATAAGAGCAACAACATTTATGTAAGCCATTAGCACCCAATTATAAAATCTTGTAATTTCTCTGATTATACAAATTTTTTAATTTCTGAGGAAATTATCCCAATCTTTCATGTAAGTATTAAGAATGCTAGGATTTCAGACACTACTCAGAAACCATCTCAGAATATTAGAACCAGGAAGAAATGGCCCTTTACTGATAACTGGCTCAAGTACAAAATGAGAATTTAGAAATTCATAATTTGCAATCAAGTTTTTAGTCACTACTATTACATGATCCAGAAATGACAAGATGCCAAAATAAATATGGGACTTTCCCAAACATTTCAGTAAAGAAAGAGCACAGCACAGGATCCACTGATCTGTAAAGTTCAACAACTTATCAACTTAAAAATAAAATTTGGAAGACCTGTTAAGGTTATACAAATCTCCCCTGCCTAAGACACCCCAGAAGTTCAATTAATGAATACATTTGGCTGTTGGGACTGGTTTAACAAGCTTTGAAGTGAACCACATAATTGATTTTTATTGCCCTTTATGGTTAATTTTGCAAATTGGTTAATTTCTTATCAGTTTAAAATGATACACAGGGCATGCATGCTAATGTTTTTCATATTTAGAATTGGGCTTAGAAATATACAAAATTGAAAAATATTTTATTTATAAAAATAATCTGAAGACAATTACCTGAATATAGGAAACCAACCAAGACCTAAAAAAACAGATTCTTTTCTGTTATGCACACTGACCTGGCGCAAAAGCTTCATATCCTTTAGGACAAAGGCGATGTAGAAGAGTGAGGCGAAGCAATTTAGAAAGTTGAACTGCCAAAAAAATATGACAATGTTAAATACTGTTTTGCAGTACCATATTATAATCCTAAATACAGCATTAAGAAACACAATGAGGAACTTCTGTTCCAGATAACAAGGCACAGAACTGTACCTCCCTGTGCCTTCTTACTAAATACCACTATCAACTCTGGATAAGAGGGGAGGAAACCAAAGGAGAGCTCTGAAAGGCACTAGGAAGAAGTAAACTGTTGGGGACCCCAGGACCAGAGGAACAGCACAGCATCAGCTTCCTAATCCATTTTACCCCATCATCCCAGACGTGTAGAACACCTGTAAAAACTGAGTACAATTATAAATATAATTATATGCTATATAACATACATATCATATAAGTATCTAATTATACAATAATAACAAACATATATACACACACACACACACACACACACACACACACACACACACACACATATATATAAGCTCCAGATTAATCCAATCTATTCGAATACATTTGTGCCAGTTTTGTTGAAATATTTGCAGAATTGAAAAACGTGGGATTTAATGAGGTTTAAGTTGTCCCCATTCAAGGGAAAACCAAGGCCCAGCAACCCCATCTCAGGAACTGGGTAGGCCAGCTTGATTCACTGCTCCCTATTCAAATGGGAGTCCCATCCATGCCAGCAAGCCCAGAGGAATGGGCATGGGGGTTTCAATCAGGCCCCACTAGCAGTAAGCTGCAGGGGAAGTACCCTTCTTCCCTGACCCATAGAGAGATGCCATGGAAGGCAGGCAACATGGCAAGAGAGACTCCATAGCAACAAGCAGCCTCACCTTGGAAACTTCTTCATGCCCATAGACCTGAAGTCATACAGGAGACAACAGAGCAAGCTCTGTGGCTCTGGCAAGGGGGCCTATCACAACAAGGGACAAATACCAATGCCTCTTTCTGCTCAGGGGCCTAAGATTCCCTTCCTCCAGGAAACACCAGGGTAGCCAGGCGGCACCAGCACCAGTCAAAACAACCAGCTCAGTTGGGAAGCATCTTTGTCAGCAGAGGCATGAGTTTCACTGCCCTGCCAGGCACAGTGGCAGCCTGGGGCTAGGGGCACCAGCCAGGGAGATTCTGCCACAAAAAGTCCCATTCCTTCAAGTGGTTCCCTGGCTCAAGAACCTGTTGCCATCCTGCACTTAGGGTACTGCCTCCCAGTCTCCAATTGCCTACTCCCCGTGGCACAGCATCGCCTTCTGGGGAAGAGGCTGCTATGTGAAAAGAGTGAGCACCTAGTTAGGACTGGGACACTGTCCAGATGATGAGCAGTGAGATCAATATGGCCACAGCACAGGGATGCTAAGTCAGAATGGAAGTTGAACAGCAAAGCCTGAAAGACTGACAAACACTATCTCTATAAAGTTACAGGGAAAGGGAGAGAGTAACAAACACAAGGCAGGAGGAACTGGTTCAAACTTGTGGGTCTTTACAGAGCAGCCACCTGGCATCGTATCCGGCATTACCAGAGATAAAAAATTCAGTTATGTATAAGACTTTGTTAAGAAAGATGCTTGCTTTCAGCTCTTCGAGCAAAAGCTCCCTTGTGGTCTTTTTCAAGTGAACTTCTTAATGGATGTTATAGTTTAGATATGAGTGTTCCCCAAAAGCTCATGTGTGAAGAAACAATGCAAGAATTTTCAAAGGTGAAATGATTCAATTATGAGAGGTATGAGCTAATCAGTGGATTAATCCACAAATGTGGATTAACTGGGTGATAACTGTAGGCAGGTAGGGAGTGACGGCAGAAAGCAGGTCACTGGGGTGTGACTCTGGTGTTTATAAACTGTCCCTGGTGAGCTGAGCTCTCTGCTTCTTTTTGTCATGTCCTGAGCTGTTTTCCTGTGCCATGCTCTTCTGCCATGATGTGCTGCCTCACTCAGGCCCAGACCAACGGAGTTAGCTGACCGTGGACTGAGACCTCTGAAACCATGACCCAAAATAAACTTTTCCTCCTCTAAGTTCTTATCAGGTCTTTTGGTCACAGTGATGAAAAAGCTAACTAAAACAACATAATATGAGGTCCTCTGCTTTATTATGCAACTTCCTATGGATTCACCAACATTTTAAATATCCATTATTTCATAATGCGAATCAGGCCTTTAGAGATTTTGTAAGATGCTAAGGTCACTTGCTCTTATTTTAATGGCCAAATTACTGAATTTTTATCTATGACAGGTCTTCTGTTTCCTTAACTGCTCTTGCCTAAGTTTACCTACTTCTAGAACTCTCCTAATGGTGATTTCTGATCTTTTAAGGACTGAAAAACCAGACAGGCAAACTTCTTAGGATGATTCTATGGCTAGAACGAAGACCCTAGTTCAAAGTGTGTAGTATGTGGACTGTGTTTGAGCCATTCCAGCAACAAATTCAGGGATTCTTACATTATGACACAGATGGTGGGGTAACCCTCTGACTAGTGAGGTGCTTTCAAGGTGGGACTTCTTTATGACTTATAATAATGATGGAAAGAGATATAATGGGTGAGTTTTTACATAAACAGCAAGCACATCGTACAAATACTTTCTCTCCATTTCTTTCCTCCCATCCATCAAAACATGCTGGAAACCTCTTGGACTTTGAAAATTTTTTTAACAAAATTTTAAAAATAATTTAGGGTTTCATCACTATTCAGACTGCAGGCATCTGAGAGGATCACCAAATAGCGAAAACATTCAAAGAAATTACTAAATACGAACATGTCTAGAAAATGGTTTCTTTTTTATTTAATAACTGGAAAGGGGCTACGTTACTAATCTCTATATTGTAAAGTCTCACACCACATACACATTTGTAATAAGGTCACTGAACATAAAAGTACACATGCTTATTAATCGCCTCTTGCCTATTTATACAAAACAGGTTAACTTTTCTTAAATTAGAAGTCACTCTTCATATTTGTAATCCTAAACACCAAATAGTATCCATTAGTTTCAAAATTCAGATGGACTTGTACATAAAAACTCTACTTACCACCAAAACTTTCAGAACTAGATGATTCTGGTATGCAGATTCCAATCTGTGATTCTCTAAAATATTAAAAAGGAAAGATAATTTCTCTCAGATAAGAAAAAAACATGGGTGCACTGTCATGAGGTAAAATGGGACTTTTGCTCAGAGCAGAGACATATGATCACAGATCCTTAGTCACTAAATATACCAGGCTTCTGGTCATGGTCATTCCTTGCCACCAAGAACACCAAGCAAGGACACATTCCTCAGGGGTCTGCAATATCATGTGGTCTGAATTGTTTTTAAATATTAATGCTAAAAAGAAATTTGGGAAGCATCAGCAAATGATCTTATAAATGACTGCCTAAAAAAAGGGCCTGGATAAGTGGCAAAACTGATCATAACCACTAACAGGAGGACATTATAGTTTTCTGGACAGGTGACTTACAGGGAGTAACTTGAAGAGATGGAAATTCAACTTTCCATCCTTGCTTAGACATGGTACATTGTGCAGATCCCACAATAGCCTAACAAAAGAACAAAAAGAGATACTCTGAGGGGAGTATCATCTTGCACAGAGGCAGGGGACTGTCCAGGATTAGAACAGCAATTAAGCTGCTCAGCCATGGCCTCACCTTGGGCTAGCTACTTAGCCTCTTGCCACTCAGCCTCCTCGCCTATAACACAGGGTAGACCACCCTCCTCCCGGGTTTGGGGTTAGAATCAGAAATAACATGCAGCCTCAGACCAGAACCAGCAAAAAGGAAGCCCTCAACACATAGTAGCTGCTATTGTTATATCACTAATTAAAATAATTTAAAACATCTTTATGATCCATGAATTTAAGGCCTAGACTTCTTCCTAAGCAATAATATAGCATATTTATTTGTTTGAATAAACAATTAATGAGTGAATTCAGACCATTTTTAAACTATAACCAAGTTCCTCATTTCTACACAGAGATGCATGAAGAACCACCTCTGCTGACAGCAGTTCCTCAGTGCCCAAATGAACTAGACAAGTCAATTTTAGGATACTAGTCCTAGGATCATGAAGATAATTTTAATTTATTTTACCTTCAGCATGAAACACACTGTTACAGTATTACGAGCACAATTTAAGACAGATAGGTGTGGATTAGCCTGGCTCTGCAGTTTATTGTTAGAATCTTGTTAAGTTTTTCAATATCTTTTATCCACAAAATGGTGAAATGACTTCTATTTCAAAGTGCCCTGAGGAGGTGAAAAATAAGATACTGTGGATAAAGTGCTTAGCTGGACATCCAGAACATAGTAAATAACAATAAATGAAAGCTATGATAAGCCTAACACAAAGATCATCAGAGCTCACAGAGGTGATGAATTTTTCCTCATGTCTCTATAACTGCATGGTGGCAGTTCTGTGAGTCCTAGAACCTAAGAAACATTTCTTACAGGCAAAAAAGACGTGAATACAAAAAATCAAGGCTTACCCCATGAAGTTAAAAACTCAGCAGCATATCGATAAAGGCGGTTCATGATCTCAATTATGATGGCATAGATGATGCTGGGCACATATAACAAGATACTTGTCCACTCAGACCCACTCTCCTCGTGTAGACTCAAGGCCCAGACTTCCATGTCGAAGTAAATCATCATGACATACAGAGAGAAATAGAGACAGAGGCATACAAAAGGCAGCGAGACCAGGTAAATGCGCAGCTGTCTCTTAAAACTGGAGTAGACAGGCTCCTCCCGACCGGTGACAGAATTGATACCCAAGACCCCATGAAACCCTGGTCGGGGCTCCTCAAACTGTCTCTTCATCAGCAATGTCCCCCACCGATAGGTCATGTTGGCACAGCCACGCTTCCACACCTCCAGAATCACCGTGGACCAGATCAGGTTGAACGAGGCGAAGATCACATACTTGTCATAGTCTTCCCACGCAAACAGGTAGTAAGGTAACCCAATGACAGCCATGGGGATTAAGGCAAAAGTGAAATACTCTAAAAATCCAAAGTAAAGAGCAATCGTTTCTCCAAAGTAGCCACGAATACTGTCTGTAATGGAAGGGAAAAAAGAACTTAAGTAAAGACTACCAAAGACCACCAAAGATTCCTTTTTAATCACTGCAAGTAAATTATACATTTTTTAAAGTGAAATGGGGTTCATTTCATGCCCTCATGCCCCAATCAAAAGGTCCATCCTGCATCTTCTGTCTAGCAGAGCACTAAATTATCTTCCCCAGGGCGATGACTCCACAGCGGGATGGTGACATTTCTTTACAGGTCTCTTCTTCTGTAAAAGACAGGTATTGGCACCTACCTATGGGTTGATACTTCAAAGTAAACCGAGTGTACCAGGTATCCTCAAGCTTCTTCAGGGCTTCAGGGTCATGTAGTGGAAACACCTGAATCACGATGCCAGACGTGAGCAATCTTCTCACTGTAGAGGAAGAGGCGCAAAAACCGCATAAAATAAATTGGAGATGGCTTATGGCAAAGATCACGTACTTGTCAGCAAACACTGCAAGGACACGCTCACCAGAGGAGCGTTACACACAGGTGGAGGTCACATTGCCTGCTCCACACTCGTACATTGTTTCATTTTTCAGAATGTAAAATCGCTTTACTATTTTCTTGGTGCAAGAAAGTTCATGTAAAATTCTAGACCATAAAAATGTATAAATTAGAATGAGATAATCCTGTTTTTCTCTCCCTCTCCTGAAAATAGTTACTATAAATAGCAACTTATAACCAGACTTCAAAGTATATATTCTTATATACTTTAATAACAAAAAATGAAATCATCTTATATGTCACATTGCTCTGTCCTCTTTTCTCATGTAATCATGTGTAATATTTTTCAATGTCAATAGAACATGAAATGTTCTTTAACAGTGTCACAATATTTCCTTGTATGAAATGCTATCAACAACTAATCCTCTATTGACAAATATTTGTTTTCCTTTTTTTTATTATTGTGAGTAATGCTAAAATTCTGGCACAAATACTTTTTCCCATCTGTTTACTCTCTCCTTATTATATGCACTTAGAAGCAAAATTGCTAGGTCCAAGGGCACATATATTTTAAATTTGTACACACATTACAAATTACTCGTAAAAATTTTTTTTAACAATTTATCCTTCCACTATTTGTGAAGGCAGGGAAATGTTCAGTTCCTTTCATTCTTGTTGAGACTAAGCAATTTCCATCATTTTTATATTTTCTAACCTAATTACAAAGACATACCCACAGACAGAAAATATCAAAATCAAAATAATAATTTCCTACTATAAGCAGTCATTTTTCTAGTATGGTTTTGACACTTGTGCACATATCTGAAAAAGACAAATGAACTTAACCAAAGACAGCATCTCCTAGAAATATTAAATGAAAATGGGGCATTCTCTCTTCTGTCCTAATTACTCACAGTGACTCAAAAGGGTGGGAAGGGACCTTCAGGGCCTCAGGAAGAAGGGCTGTCAGTAGAAACAGAGGACTTGGATGTAAAGCCTATTGCCAAATCGGGGGACATGGTATATTTGCCATATGAATTTCTAGTATATTTTCCTGTTAAGGAACATGGTTGCTTATGAGATGGAATTTGCATTAAAAAAAGAATGTTTTGCCATTTTTTATCCATGGATGAGGTTGGAGCTCTTGAAGGTTTATCAGCTCACATCTTCCAATGGATGCCTCCCTTCATTCCTCTCTATCTGCCACCAAAGACAAGGATGAGAATACCCAGGCATGAGACCCCCTCAGTGAGGACCACTAAGGAAAAAAATTATTAATAAAGGAAAAAAATCTTTTAAAAATCTTCAGAGTAATTTAGTAATTTAGTTAAGTAAACTTAACTCCTTAGAAATGAAAAAAGAAAAACATTAAAAAGAGGAGATACCTGATACCAACAATGGGGGAAACTTTGGATTTGAAAAAAATGATTCATAATGTATGTTTCTTTTTACAATTATAGCTTATAAGTAAGTTATACAGAGGAGAAAAACTTTAAAAACTAGGGTTGTGATAAAATCCTCCTTCTTAGTGACTGAAAAGGGTATATCCTCAAAATATCAGCAGCTAGGGTAAAAAGACATATGGGCTAAGTTACATCGGCCTCCCGTGCTGTCAAATCCATTTTTAAAACATTTTTATCCTAAAGTGTTTCCGTGGATGTTTTTCGGCTAGGAAGAGTTTAAGTCACAACCAACCTGATTCTCTTCCTTTATTTGGGGATGCACAGGTTATAGCAGATTTTCTTATCACCATCCTTTCCAATTACTACACAAAGTATTTTAACTTTGAATTGACTTAATGGCATCTAAATTATTAGTTTTACTATTTCCAAGTTCTTTTATAAAAGATAACTCCACTCTACTACAGAATATTTTCCAGGCAGGCATAAAAACCAGCTTCTATGTTTCTAAAAATAGGGCTGTGAACTGAGCACTCTGAGAGAATATAAAGCTGCAAGGCCTAAATTACTGGTCTTCTTTTCACCATCATTGCCAAAGCATGGTTCTGGTTTCAGCTTCTAAAAATAGGTTTTCTTGGTTTTTTTGTGGTTTTTTTTTTTTTTTTTAATCCTTCAACCTTTTCAGGGCAGCTAAGAATGTAATTACTAGGAAGGAGCATTACCTTGAAAGGAAAATATGATACCACCTGGGCCTATTTAAAGATAGCAACCACTTAAACCAGATTCCTTCCTTCAAGATTGCTGAAGGATCTCCTGGAAGTACTGGGTGGTTCTAACTATGATAGCCAGTAAGAAATTAGCAAAAAAAATTGAGATCTAATCTAAGGGAGACTATCAAAAGACTAAAAGTGGAACCACCACATGATCCAGGTATCCCACTCCATGGTATTTATCCAAGAGAACTAAAATCAGCATACTATAGTGATACACACAAATGTTCATAGCAATGCAACTCACAATAGTCAAGTTTATAGAACCAGCCTAAATGTCCACCAAGAGATGAATAGATAAAGAAAATGTGGCATATATACAAAATGGAGTTTTATTCAGCCATAAAGAAGAATAAAATTATGGCATTTGTTAGTAAATGGATGGAACTGGAAAAAATCATGCTAAATGAAATAAGCTAGACTTAGAAAGTTGAGGGTCAAATGTTTTATCTCATTTGTGGAAGCTAAAGAGAGAGAAAGAGAGAAAAGGAATTTAAAAAATGATCTCATGAATTATGCTATGTCTGTGTATATGCTATGTCTGTATATATATATATATATACATATATATAATGAATCATATATATATATACACAGATACATACATATATGTAATTATAATCACAAATTAAAAATAAGAATGATAATGACAGAAGGGAGATCAGTAAAATAGAGCGAGTAGGTCGGGGGAGGGAGAAAAGAAGGGCAAGGGAAGGTACCAGGGAATGAGAGTGATCAAATTATGTGCATGTATGAATATGGAATAATAAATCCCACTATTATATATACTTATAATTCACCAATAAAAATAATTTAAAAACCAAATCATATCAAAGACATAATAGGAAATGTGTCAGATCATATTAGGTCCATTTTTCTGTTACTGTAACAAAATATCCGAGGCAGGCTAACTTTCTAAGAACAGGGCCTTTTTTCAGCTCATAATTCTGGCACCAGCATCAGCTCGGCTCTGGTGAGAACCTCACAGCAGAGGGCAGGAGCACATTCAATAGGGCAAGATCACATCTACAAAGAGGAAGCCAGATCATGTCCCTAATGATCTTAAATCTTCTACCAGGGACCACCTCTTAAAGGTTTTATCACCTCCTATGTTGCCACATAGCAGACCAACCCTCCACAACATGAAACTTTTGGAAACAAACTCAAACCATATCTAAACAATAGCAGCTCTCATCAATCAAAATGTGCTAATCATCTGAAAGATGTTTTGAGACAAAACTGTATCCTAAACTAGATAACATTCCTTAAGATACAGCTAATATGTGGGCAGTTCTTGGGTCCCTTAACTCCTCTTTCTAAAGAAAATCTTTCCTTAGGTCATCCGCCCAGGCACATGCACGTATACCTACACAGACCCCTGTCTCTGTTAAGAAGCAGTAGGAGAAGCAGAGTCTGAGGCATGAAAAGATATTAGCATGTAGAGACGCAAGCAATGGACAGCTGTCAAGATCAACACTTGACGACCAAGACACACATGGAAACAACATTCTGTTTTCCACGTTGCTTGCCATTTGATGGAATGATGAATGGCCCTCATATGCGCATCTCAGAGCACCACCAAAATGCCTCAAAATCATGTTTCCAATGACACAATTTCTATCTGCTTAATGAAAGCTTTCTATCAAAACCCAGTATTACAGTAAGCAGCAAGCAAATTGATAATCATTGTGTGTTAACCTAGGATATGAAGTATTTTCCATGAGAGCCTTGACTACCTCTCACAGTACTAATAGGCTTCACATTGAGCAGGATGAAGTCTCTCCTCCCCAGAGAAGAGGCTACCCAAGAAAGCAGCAGCTCTCACAAAGCTTAAAGGGGAACTGCCTTTCCACTGTGGAGTAACCTACTAAAAATCTAGGGTTTAACTTATCCTAAGTTTATCAGTTCTGAAAATAGTTCACAGTTTACAATTATGCATATATCTCCTCTTCTTCAACTAAATATGATATAAATTTAAATGGTATAAAAGACAACATAGCATTTTAAAGATCACATTTCCAAAGACATAAAGAAAGAGAGTAATGCAGAATTTTTAAATGTCGACTTGACAACTAAAATAGGATTTTTATGTCAGCTGGTATAAAAAACATTTCCAATGACCATGACTGAGATGACTTTATTGCTTTTATATTTAGGACCAAAAAAGAAAGACACAGAAGAAAGGGAAAGAGGAAGGAAGGATCCTTGTTCACAAAAGGCTCATCCATCCAGCAAGAAAGTTATTTCTGTTATGGCTTCAGGGTGCCAGCCCATATACCCAAGAGAAATCCATTCAAGTAGTTCTTTCAGGGTTTTCATTCAGCAGAAAATTTTTCTCTTTCAAGCAGCTAGGAGCATTTGGAAACTAGATGATCCATTATATCATTTGATAAAAAAGCACACTTACACTTTTCTCTATCCCAGCTTTACCCAAAAAGATGTGTAGAAACTCAGGTGTGGAACCATGATTTCCATAGGACAGTCTGACCAATGTGGACAAACAGAAAGGATGTTGACATTAACAACCAGGACAGTGTCTCAAGTGGCTTGGGTTTTATTTCATGCAGTACCCAGCTGTGTCTGAAAACATGTCCATCCACCAAGAGATTAAGGAAGATTAACAATCTTAGTACCAAATAACTACTTAAATACAGAATGTAGAATTCCTGGTTACTAAGAGTAGCAGAAAGACACCACAGCCCCATTTTTGTTCATGATACCGAACTAAAAACAGAAAAAAAAAGAAACATGAAATAGAAACCCTTATCTTTGACAAAAATATAGAAAAATAAACTTAAAACTCAAATCCTAAACTACTATAAAAAGCCTTGAAAATAGCTCAGGGTAAGCTAAGGCACCCACACCTCTGCAAACCTGGGCCAAGCAGCCAAAGAACAGGGTTCTCCTAGACACTGTGGGATGGCTGTCCCCCTGGCCAGCAAGCAGGCACATGAGGATGCACGGTGAACCCCTGGAGCATGTCTGCCCCACAGCTAGACACGGTGACGCTAGAGAGGAAAAAAAGCATATTGGAAGAAGGAAATGCCCGCTAGAACCCAGGATGGAGAATGACTAAGTCTGGAGCTGTGGTCAGCCCAAAATAGGCCTAAAGGCCAAACCCAATCAAAGAACTCTGCAAGAACAGGACTCCACAGGGGCTCTCTGCAGAGCCCTAGATGACTCAAGAATGCATTGCTGGGCAGAGCTAAGCTTCCCATTTTGACAGTTCCCCCATAGAGACCTCCAGTCACCCCTCTCTCCAAAATACACACTTCCCTTCAAAATCAAAAAGACAGCCACCAGTCTGGGAAGAACAGGGATTCATTAAAAAATAACTAATAATCACAAAGAAAATAGCATAGAGCTCTGAAAAAATATTACAAGGAAACCACAAACACTAAAAGGAAAAAGAAAAACCACAAATAAAAGGTAGAAATAAAACATAGCAGAAGCCTACGGAAAATAAAAACTTTTCTAAGAAAATAGAATTTATCCAAATTGAACCCAGGAGCAATGGAAAGTCGAAATACACCCTTCTACAAATGATTCAGAGAAAACTGTTCAAACCCTAACCCATGAACAAACATCAAATCAGATGATTTCTTAAAGGAATTCTACCAAACCTTTAGTTTAAAAAAAAAAAAACAGATTAGATTTTAACTAGAGACAGTAGAAGAACAAAGAAAGACAGAAACAAATCTTAAACTTTACTCACTGGTATTGTTAATGTTGAAATTAGCATGATTTTACAAGTTATTTTATGTAAAACGTAAGATAAAGTAAATTACTAATTATAGTAATGTTATTAAGAATCAAGATTTTCAAAGTGAAAAGAAATACAAATATAAAATCAAAGAAATTAAGTAAAATTCCATAATGTTAAATTTGAATTGAGTATATTAATATAAATTCATTATTTGAAAAAAATGTATTTCTTAGCCTTTTCCATTGAAATGTGAGAAAAGATGACACACCTCAGAGAGCAAAATATTTTTTTAAGCACAGAAATAAGCAATTTCAACAGACAACATAATATTGAATAAGATATCTCAACACAAAACAGGTCATTTACTTAAGTAGTATAAGGGTGTAGCTCAGTGGTAGAGCGCTTGCCGAGCATGCACGAGGCCCTGGATTTGACCACCAAGACCACAAAAACAAATTAAAAAATTATTTGGTTAAAAGAAAAAAAAAGTCCTCAGGTCAGAATGCAAGCAAAATCCAACTATATCCTAATATGAGAGATCCACCTAAAACAACCTTCAGAGGAAACTAAAAAAAGATGGGTAAAAAGATCCCAGCACATGCAAACTTAAAGCATGAACTACAAGAACAAAGTTGAACACCTTAACCTTAACAAAACAGTAAACAAGATGAAGACTAATATTTCATGACTATAAAAGATGCAATCTATAAGGAAAATTTTTCAAAAATATGTAGCCAAAAAAATAATTTCATCAAAATGTGTTTCACAAAACTGGTTGCTATAATGACTTACATAATGACTTTCCTGGGTACAACTTTGCCTGGGGGTAGCCAGGGATCATTTTTTCATCTCTAGCTCTAAGATTTTCAAGTTCATGTTTGATAATGAATTGACATTCTGCCATTGTGAGGAAATCATCATTGTTATCTAAAATAAAACAAAAATATGTTTTCTCAGTAACAAAGTAAAGCAATATCTCAATTACTTGATATTATAATGATATAAGCAATAACAATTAACATAAAGAGTAACCAAAGTATGAAATTGGTAAATTAAAAAGAACATAAAGCTTCATAGATATTTCATAAGAATCAAAAGATTTGGTCATGCTTTCTCACACTACAATTCTTCAATCATTTTAATAGTTATTATGTAGTATGTTACAAACATTCAAACAGCATACACTTGCTTGATCTCAGTGGGAGGCAATATATTCTTGAATTCTAACAGTATTTTTTACCAGAGACTCCCAAATGGGAAAACCTCCTCTTTCAAACTCTCAAGACTCCATTCTGGAGGCAAATGTGAAAGAGAGAACCAAGTCTGATAAGAAAACAGAGTTCCTTTTGACAGGTGACTCTTCTTAAATGAGGTAAATTTCACCTGGCTCATTAAGTCACTAAGGAATAAAAATCCAGAATTGGTCTGAAGAAGTCTAATCACATCTTCTAACTCTGAAAGCTCTGAAGGGTTCAGCTTGATTCTGAAGCCAAACACTGCTCCTGATAAAACTACTCTGACTTCCTGCTGCTTTCCAGAAAACATTCCCTTTCCTCCAGAAGGCCAAGACATAATCACTTACCCTACCATATTCAGTAGGAGCCAAAAACTTCAGGAAATGATGTTTTAAAGATACAGAACCACTATGGTGTTTCTTACAGGATTTTTCTGTATCAAGCCAGTGGATATTCATCACTATGAACATTAGTACAGGATACTGTAAAATATGTCCTTCTATTCCAGGGTGTTCTCTATTCCAGAGGTGGTAAAGTATGGTCTATGAGTCAAACTAGCCTGCCACCTGGTTTTACAAATAAAATTTTGTTGGAAAACAGCCTCATCCCTTCATTTACTTAAGGGTCTAAGCTTCTTCTCTGCTCTACCATGGCAGTATTAAGTGCAGCAGAGACAACATGGCCCACAAAGCCTAAAATATTCACTAATATGACCCTTTACTAGAAAGACTCCTAATCCATTCATCAAAAACTTTTTTGCAATAAGAGGATTATGATATAAATAAAATATCGTGGGGCTCACCATCAAAACCTTTGAAGTTCTGGCGTGTTCCGTATGTGAAGGCTCTCATGGTGTTATCATTGCACTCTTTTACCAATCCCACTGCTTCTGCCCCCAGTAACAGTCTGATCTGGGAGGCACCAACAAGATACAAATTGTGATGTTCTAGTGTTTCTGTCTCATATTTATTTAACAGTGGTCTAAACAACAACTGGGCACCTTCAAAAACAAAAGATTAGCACAACCTTAGAAAGACTAACATATAATTTTCAAAAATGAAAACCTTCTAAATGAGTATATATCTAGTCTGGTAGAAGGAGAAGAAATTATATTAACAATTTAAATCTATATTCCAATGAAATAAAAAAAAATAGAAGTTTTGGATAGTCAATCTTTATAAAGTGATAAAGTAAAAACTGAAAACGTAGCAGTAAGTGGTCTGCCATTTATTCAAATAAGCAGTTGAAACGAGAATCCAATGTTCATTAGCTTTAAGTATAAAATAGTTATTAAGTAAAAATACAGAGTAAAAGGATAAAATTTCCTAATATAAGCCTAATGGACTAAAATGTAAGAAAATTAAAATTAAATAGCATACACTAGCAAAAAAAGTCATAAATGTAATATAACTACACTAGACTATAAGAAATATTATAAAAGATAAATATTAAAGAATTCAAGCAATATAGCTTTTTAGTGATTTTTCTATAAATTTCTTAATATACTTTTTTTCCCTAATTCAGAGTCTTACTATCTTGAATTTGTGATCCTCTTACCTCAGCTTCCCAAGTACCTGCACAACCACACCCAGAAAATTTTTCAAAATTATCACTATTTTCCCAAAACATTAAAAATAATATTGTATATATAATTATTACTTAAAAGATAACAGAGAAAAGGAATTTTTTTCTAATTATTTTTACCTATGTCAAACTTTCCAAGGTACATTTACTTATTAACTTATTTATTTTTAATTTGAGACAGGGTAAGCACTAAGTTGTCCAGGATGGCCTTGAACTCTTGGGCTCAAGGGATGCTCCTGGCCCTACCCCCTGAGTAGCTGGGACTACAGGTGATGTCATTGCAGCCAACTGTTTACTTCTTTACTATGAGTTCTGTAGAAATAGTTGACAGACATTAATCATATAATTGGATAATGAATAAAATTATATAATTTTTAAAATTTATAATTTCAAAAAATATATATAATTTACTTACCAAATAGATTAGTTTATTAAGATTAATGTATTATGACACTATTATTTAGGTAATTTACAATAGAGGTATTAAAATTTTTAATAAAAGGTATATTCAAATTATAGAGAAAAAGTATAAATGGCTCTTAAATATAAGATCATTAACCTCATTCACATTAAGAGAAATACAAAAAGAGTCACCAAAATGCTAATTTTCTCTTCTCGAAATGCAAAGGTAGAAAGTTTGATTACAGGGTAGTGAATATGGTGGCCACCAGGAGCTCTACTCCAGGAGAATCTGCTTGGAGGAGCTGGTGCTAGCCACCATTCCTTACACCAAGTCATACTGCTTCTGGCTGCCCCGAGCCACTGGCTGAATACACAGGAGACTCTGGAACAAGGCCATTCCTGCTCAACATGGTTCTCCTTTAAAGGGAAACCTAAAGCCTGGCTGACACTTCAGAATTGTGCTGTGCTTTCAGGCTCTTCCTCCCTTGCCTCTCTCACAAGTGTCAGATCTACTCCTGTTCCATTCTCTTTATCTTTTTACAGATCTTTCCCTTAGTAAATCTCTGGTGTATTCAAATCCCATCGTGGCATCTCTTTCTTAAAGGATCCAAACTGACACAGTGAGTGTGTAAGGAAAGTTACTCTCGTCCTACTGAGGAAGTAGGAAATGGAGTAAGCTCAAAGAATCCTTTGTTAATGTCTTATTTTGAAAGACAGTAGTCTCCATCTCCCTGCCCCAAGTTACCGTCCCCTTCAAATTGTTCAGGTGATTCGTTTATTATTTGCTTTCATATCACCAGATAATATTACCTAGAGAGGTATTTCTTGTTTTTTGTTTTTGTTTTTTTATTTTAAGTCTAGCAAGATGAGGAATTAGCTCCCATTTTTTCCCAACCTTCACCATGTGCATTCACCATTCCTACCTCCCCATTCTCACAATGTAGTTATGTTACGCTTTTCCTCAATAGTCACTATTTACATATTATAATTACATGTTATTTATGGCTGAACTTTGCCTGCACTTTCCATTTTCCTAAAAGTTGCTGACTTATCACTTGCTTAGTTATTATATATCTAAATCATTCCCCCTAACTGTCTGACAATCATCTGTCTCCCCTTGATTCACTGACATGAAAGATACGCTGTTAACATCATCTTTTCAGAGAACCTTCCTTGACTCTGCCCTTACACCTTTAGGCAACTAGTTGGTACAGAATTTTAGATCAAAAACCTTTCTTTCTGGAATAAAGAAATGACACCACTGCCTTCTAATGTTTTTGTTAAGAAGTTTTATACTTTACATCTGGCCTATTTTCTTTTTTCTGAGTGTGTTCTTGTTTTTTCTCATTCCCCGGGGTTCTGAAACTTCCCAAGACTATGCCATTTTCATCACAGTGCCGGTCACTAGATGGCCCCTTTGAGACTTGGAGTCTCCAGTTTTTTTCTGATGATTTCTTCTTTTTTCAAAACCCCTGGTCTTTTTCTAGAATTCCTTTTATTCAGATGTGTACCTCTTGGATCAGTCTTTATTTTTACTTCCTCCCAGAATTTCCAGTTCTATACCTTTTTGTTCTTGGATATTTTTAATCAACATTATCTTCTAACCATTTTAATGAATTTTTAAACTTTGATTTCATATTTTCACTTCTTAAGAGTTGCTTTTTCCCCCATTTTTATGAAATCCTATTCTTGATTTATAGATGTTACTTCTTTTCATAACTCTGATGACCGAGATTTCTATTCGCCTTTGGGTTTCTCCTTCACATGATTTGTTGCATTTACCTGTCTGTTTAGCTTTAGCTTTCTCTTTCATATAAGCAATTTTCCTCAGAAGTTTGGTGATCTTTCTTTTATATGCTTGAGAAAAGGAGTTCTAAGAAGCTAAAAAGAAGTTCTGAGTGCTTAGATAAAGCCTATCGGAGATGGCTTTTAATGCAAGCTGAAATGGCCAAGTCATTTTCCATTGGCAACCTCCTGATTTTGGCACCTTCAGTTATTTTGTTTAAATGGGTTAGATTCTCCAGAGAAAGACTGCTTCCTAGGTGGTCTGACTCTGGCTTCTAGTATTTTGGAAACTGAATAAAGTATGAGAATGGTGGGTGGTAGAAGGGGAATGGTACTCAGTACCTTATTTTCAAGTATGGATCTCTGCTCCAACTGTGCCTAGAACCCCTATGCCAAAAACCAAGCATCTGACCTTCTCCAGAGAATGAATCCCAGGTCTTCTGCTGGTGAGGTAGAAAACTGAAGGGATCCAGCGATATATTCCTTAAGTAGATCACCAATCCTCTTTTTTCCTTGGTAATACTCTTCTCCTCCAGTCCACAGGTCTCTGGTATCCCTAATTCCTGAGGGTTTTGTGTTTTTTTTGGAGGGGGTGTTCTGTAGCATAAACCAAATTGCTTCTAAATTTTCTCCCGTACCAGGTTAAGTCCCACCTTTTTCAACTTTGTGAAGTCAAGTTACTACTCATCCCATTATTTTCTAGCTTTTACAATTCTGTTATTGTTTTATCTTCTCCTTTCTTCTTTGTCAGTGTGGATTTAGGTCTTTTATTTTTTTTCTTAATTTTTAAATTTGTTTTAATTAGTTACAGATAACAGTAGAATACATTTATGCACTTTGATATACCATACACAGATGGAATATAATTTCTCATTTTTCTGAGTGTACATGCTGCAGAATATTGGTCATGCAGTCACATATATACATACAGTAGTAATGTCTGTTTCATTCTACTATCTTTCCTATTCCCACATCCCCTCTCCTCTCCTCCTATCACTTCCCTCTACCTAATTTAAAGTAATGCTATTCTTCCTTAGTCTCTGCATATTAGAGAAAACATTCGGCCTTTGGTTTTTGGGGATTGGCTTATTTCACTTCGCATGATTTACTGGCAAATGCCATAATTTCACTCTTCTTTAAAGCTGAGTAATATTCTATTGAGTATATATACCACTTTTTCTTTATCCATTCAACTATTGAGGGACATCTAGGTTGCTTCCATTGTTTAGCTGTTGTGAATTGAGCTGCTATAAACATTGATGTGGCTGCATCACTATAGTATGCTGATTTTAAGTCCTTTGGGTATAAACCAAGGAGTAAGATAGCTGGGTCAAATTGTGGTTCCATTCCCAGTTTTCTGAGTAATCTCCAAACTGCTTTCCATAGTGGTTGTACCAATTTGCAGTCCCACCAGCAATGTATGAGTGTGTACCGTTCTCCCCACATCCTCGACAGCATTTATTGTTGCCTGTATTCTTGAAGTTTGCCATTCTGATAGGAGTGATATGAAATCTTAGAGTAGTTTTAATTTGCATTTCTCTAATTGCTAGAGTTGTTGAACACTTTTTCATATATTTGTTTATCAATTGTATTTCTTCTTCTGTGAAGTGTCTGTTCAGTTCCTTAGCCCATTTATTGACTGGGTTATTTGTATTTTTAGTGTTAAGTTTTTTGAGTTCTTTATATATCCTAGAGATTAATATACCTTTTTAAAAGGTCCTTTTATTTTTATCATCACTTTAATAGGAGTCCAGAAGAAAACAAAAGGAGATACTAAAGTAGATGCACTGCCTTTACTGGAAGACAAAGACAGTGCAGAGATGCTGTCCCCAAAGTGTCCCAAAAGCATACACCAACAGAAAGAAGGCTGGGAGTACACTGGAGCCTTTTAATCTAAGATGCTACAAATATTCTTAAATCACTGGAGGTTAAAGAAGGAATTCAAATGCAGTGAAATACCTCAAATTGCAGCAAGCAAATACTTTTGTTTTTCTTTCCTTTGGGTACAATTATTTGAAAAATGTTTAAATTCTCTTTTGAAAAAATCCATTTTGATTTATAGTTACTTTTAAAAAAAGAGTTTAAGTTTAGTTCAGTATTTGGTGCAGTTTAAGGTACTATTTTTGGTACTTTATAAAATGTAAAACAAGCCCTACCTTGTCACCCACACCTAACCCCTGTTCAAGAGAGGGCTAAACCTAGGTGCTTTAGGCTGTCCCTTGACATTCTAAAAAGCACTGCCAAAGTTTCATCCACACTTCCCTTTATCTTTACAGTATGTGTACATATGATTCATGTGTAAGTATCATACACTGTTTTGTGACTGCTCTCCACTAACTTTATTTTTTTACTTAAAATTTTTGGGAAATAGCATTCAGTTTCCCTATCCTGACAAACATCCTAGCAGGCAGAGACTTCTCTGAGTTTTCTTAGCAATACAATTGACACACAAAGAATACTCAACAGATACTTGTTCATTCATTTCACATATATTTATTAAGCTCCTACTATGCACTAAGTACTATAGTAGGCATATCAATAAGAGTTACGAAAAAACCATTCATATTGCTTACAGGCTAAAGGGAATTTACAGTTTAATCTTGATTTAAGGACTCATTTCAACTCCTAGGTAGATAATAAAGTGAAAATAAACATTAGCAAATAAAACATCAATAAAAATTGTAAAGCACATTTGCAAATACACTTTTAGTCATTGAGCATGACTAAGTTTGAGTAGTGACATGATACTCACCTCCATCTTTCTTTTTAGCAATAATTCTGTTTTTTAGCCATTCTTTGGTTTCTTCTTTGACATCCTGAGCAAGTTCTATGACCACCAAAGGTGTGAAAGAACTCTCATAAGTATCCAAAGCTGATAAGGTCACTTTCATATTTGATAAACTTGCTGAAAATTAAAATGAAAAGTAAAAATGAGTTATTCTGACAAATAAATATGCTACAGGCTGATTTCACTTTCTCTTAATTATACCTAATTCTGATTTCCAAGATAAAGCAAAATTCTGATCCTAACAGTTACATAAGAGGTTCAACCAATAGGACAAAGCACATGTATGAGCCAGGCTGACCAGAGAAAACCAACCTTTTTTGTAAGCAGCTCAGAACATGGAAGGAGAGCAACTTGGGTAAAAGAAAACTACAAAAGGTGCTCAAACACAAGATAAGAAAGAAGAATGAATGGGTCAGATTGACAGTAGATGGTATTCGAAGAAGAAGAAATAGTATTTCCCTATAAAATAATGATGGGAAAATAGCAATAGGCTCAGAGAAACTCAAGTTGTTAGGTATGACTGGAGCATTAACTCTGTGTAGGGGGAAGAAAGGATGGGAATGAGCTGTTATCTAAGTAGGACCCCTGGTTACAAAGGAAATGGGCTTTGTCCAATGCACAAAGGGAGTCACCAATAGATCAGAGCAGGGAACTGAGTTACTGTTAGCAATTACAGATCAGAAAGGCTCAGCCTAGAGTGTGGGAGACCAGTTAGGAAGCCATTAGAATAGTTTAGAAAGAGCTTGTACTGGCCTTAGCAGTAAGGACAGATTGGAGGTAAAAATCTACAGAAGCTGACAAATGTAGACTGAATGAAATGACTTAGAAAAATGTTAATGGGTACTAAATGGTCATTACAAAATTATGACTATTGCAGTCATCCCACAGAGATGGGATAACTTACATAGGCAGAGACACTGCTATATAAGTCCCCCAAAACTACACATTCTAAAAGTGACATTAATATGTCATTAATAGTGAGAAGGTAAGCCAAAACCTCTACTTCTAGGACAACAGATTAGGAGGTTCAGACAAACAATTTCACTAAAGACAATTAAACAACACACACACACACACACACACACACACACACACACACACACGCTTTTAAAAAAAAACACACCTGCAAATATCAGAAAGCAAACAGGGCTGTGAGAATTCTGAGGCCCATAAGAAGAAACAGAGAGGAAGCTCAGTATCTGCAGTTTCCCAGAAGCCTCTGCCAATTTGGGAAGAAGGAGACAAGAAGGAGTGAAGCAGGGAGCCAAGAAGGACTTCTACTGGCCATGAGAGACTTGGGGATGGTGTGATTAGTAGAGCTCATCAGAGAAAGGGTCAGATAAAATCCCTACTATGAATAAGGACATTAAAAGATTTCATCCTAAAGATAACTGTGAATCAAAAACTCATTTTTGATAGAAATTAAATTCTAGGTTCATATCATTTCAATCAGAAGATAACTTATTATACATGAAAATGAAAAGAAACAATAATATCAACAATTACATAGTAAATCCAAATAATGGAATTAGCTAGAACAGACTTTGAAGTAATTATCGTAAACTGCAAAGAACTGGAAAATTTTTTAGTGGAAATTCTAAAATTTAAACATATAAGAGTCAAAATCACAGAAAATTAGACAAAGCTAAAGAGGAAAATTGATGAAATGTAAGAAAAATACCCAAAATGAAGCTCTGAGAGGTAAAAAAAAAAAAAAAAAAAAAGCAAGATAGAAAAGAGTAAGAAAGAAAGAAAAATGGGAGTCATAGAAGTAAAGACGGAATGTATTAGGGCAAAAGCTGTATCTAAAGAAATACTGACAAAGAACTTCCCCAGACAAAATATATAAATCTCTATATACTGCAACCAGGATAAATACAAAGGAAGCAGCATAGTAAAATCACAGAAAACCCAAGAGACAGAAAAAAAATTAAAAGCACTAAAAATAAGAAAAGACAAAACACTAGATAATTAGAATGACTGCTGACTTAGCAGTAAAAAAAAAAAATGAAAGCCATGGTATCTTCAAATTAAACCATATGTGCATCTTCAACAGTCCAAGAGAACATTATGGTCAACCCAAGACTGTATCCTTCACCAAAATATGCTCTAAGAATAAAACAGGCGACATGGTGGAATTACATACAGGTAATTCCAGCCACTAGGGAGCAAGGGTAAGGCTGGAAGAGGCAAGTTTGAGGTCAGCCTGGGCAACTTAGTGAGACCCTGTCTCAAAAGTTAAAAAAAATTAAAAGGGTTGGGATGTAGTTTTCAGTGTATTGTGGCCCTGGGTTCAATCCCTAGTACAGTGGGGAAAAAGAATAATAGAAATAAAAACATTTTCAAACAAACAAAACTGGAGAGGATTCGTCACTAGCACATACCCATTTAAAAAAATATAAGGATGCTGGGTGCAGTGGCATGCACACCTATAATCCCAGCGGCTCAGGAGGCTGAGGCAGGAGAATCATGAATTCAAAGCCAGCTTCAGCAAAAGTGAGGCACTAAGCAACTCAGTGAGACCCTGTCTCTAAATAAAATATAAAACAGGGCTGGGGATGTGGTTCAGTGGTCAAGTGCCCAAGTTCAATCCCTGATACCCACCCCCACCAAAAAATATGAGTATAATAGTGTAGGGCAGAAGGAAATGATTGCAGATAATGATCTAGGATCTGGAGCATATCAATTCTCTTTTTAATAAGCAGACATTCCTTTTTAGCATTAATTCTCTTTTACTGAAGGCTCACTGTAAGTGGGACACTATGTTAAGTGCCTACATATATTATTCCATTTAATTATTCCAATAGTCCTACAATTTACTCTTTAAAAAATCAAATGATGAAGTTACTTTGCTAATCTCACAATAGAAAAAACATTAATTTTCCATGATACAGAGCTTAAAAATAGAGAAAACAGTCATTAGAGATATTTAAATCCTTCATTTTTTCCTACTGTTAATCTTAATTTTTAATTACCATACAACTCTTACTGAAGATGACACAGGACAGAGTTAAAAACAAAATGACAAAGTGAAAATATTTACAGAATCCTTAAGCCCAATGCAGTATTAAATGTTTTTAAAAATAAGTAAAATGGCCAATAAACACCAATAACAAAAACTAACAAAAAATATTCAACAACCAAAAAGTAAACTTCAAGCTCAAATCACCAATTGAATGCAATACAGGCAAGGATTTGATTGAGGATCTTTCTAGACAATTTGGGGAATTCCAATCATCTACATGCATGTATCTGCAGATTAATCATTGTAACAAAGACAGGCCCTGAAAAACAGCCAGACATTTTAATAGATTCTGCATCAGAGGTTTCAGTGAACCCTAGAAATATATTGCTGTGATTTGGATTTTTGAATGTCTCAGGTATATGCTAACACACATACTAATTTTATTTTATGAATACCAAATATTCCTAATCTATAATTAATTTAGTAAAAAATTAATAATAAGTAGTCCTTACCAATCTGTAAAATTAAAAATCTATGAAATTAAGTCCTATTGGCTGAAATGAACTCAAAAAGGACTTGCACTGTTTTTTTTTAAATTTTTTTTTTAGTTGCAGATGAACCCATACCTTTATTTTATTTATTTGAATGTGGTACTGAGAATCGAACCCAGTGCCTCACACGTGTTAGGCAAGCGCTCTGCCACTGAACCACAACCCCAGCCCCAGGACTTGGATTTTTAAGATGCATTCAGATGAATATCACAAGAATATTCAAGTTCTTCAGTAGGTTTCTACTTCTAATTCTCTACCCAATTTTTTTTCTTGGTTCCTGTAGCAGAGTTCCTCCTGTCTGAAATTTATCCTCCCCTTCTTTGCCTAAGCACATATCTGGACCATATTTCCCAGCCTACTGGCATCAGGTGGACATGGGACAAAATCCTACTGATGATATATTGGCAGTAGTGAATGCCAGCTCCAATCCAGGGATGTGATCATGCCTCCTCCATGTTTTGTTTCCCTTTTTATGGGCCCCACAAATTAGGGAGCAAAGTCTGACTCCCTAATTGACCTAAAGAGGTGAGCCACCCACCAATCCAGAAAACTGCCTTGAACTGTTCCATCGTGAGAAATCTATTATGTTTGAGTCTATTACATATGGGGGGAACCAAAGGACACAGCAGTTTAGATTATTCTGATTAATTTAGCTCCTTTACTTCCAGCAGTTTGGGCTTTGGTATAATTGTGCCTTTTATTACAATCTGTCTCAAAATCATTAGACTATAATGGTTGACCTCTGGAGTAGACACACCTTTCAAGTTCAACTCATAACCTATTAGTTATGTGGCTTTAGACAATTTATTCTCTTCTGAAAAGTAGAAACAATGAAAGCACAGACCACATTGGGTTAGTGTGTGATGAAATAACACATGTACAGCACAGCCCTTGTCACAAAGTAGGCATGCGAAATTAAGTGCCATATTTATTACTGGCTACTATAATATTATATACAAATTAATAAGATCCTAGAATTAAACTCTTCAGAGAAAACCTTAACTGTCTCAGATCAAGTTCCATAGAAATTTACCAAGTAAATCATGATGCACTTAAAGAGGCGTGTATTAGTCAGTTTTGTGTTACTATAACAAAATACCTGAGGTAATTAACTTATAAAATAAAGAATTTATTTTTGGTTCATGGTGCTGGAGGTTCCAGTCCAAATCAGGTGTGCTATTGCTTTGGGCCTTTCTGAGGGTAGCACATTGTGGCAGACGCATGTGGCAGAGTAAAATCAATCATCTTTATGACCCAGGAAGCAAAGATAAAACAGGAAGGGGTTGGAGTCCCACAATCTCCACTGAGGGTACCCCCCCCATAACCTGAGAACTTCACACTAGGCTCCTACCTCCTGAAGATTCCAACAATACTGCATGCTGGGACCAAGCCCTTAACACAAGGACCTCTAAGTGACACATCCATAAACAAACCACAGCAATGCTCTCATTGCAATAGCCCATATTTACTGTTAAAAATATTAACTAACTCTTAAAAAGCATAGAAAATTATTATTGGAGGGGGCACTTTTAATAAATTGTTAGAGTAAGTGATATTTTACAAACTCTTGAGTTTGTTATTGCGGATATAAAGTAGAAAAC